ACTGGATTAAACAATACAGATTCTGTATCTGCCATTTATGGGCTGACAGCAGATTCTCTGGTGATTCATTAACGCAGGAGCTCGGCAGCAACAACACACAACACGGTCTACATCAGTTAACGTCGCCATGACAACGATGTCAATGATAGAGGAATAAGCTACATCAACACAGCATTCATCAAGGGACAGGGTCGCTGGTAGTAGTCTCCAGCTAATCTGTATATGCAATGCCCCTTTACTGATCAAAACGTTCATAACGTATTTATTACATGAGGTACGGATGGGGTCCAGATTGACTCATTGATCCACTCAGTGCAGATGCAAACCCAGTTGGGCTTTGAAAGGCTCTGATCTATTTATTCTGCAGTCATATTCTACATATCAGTCTATCAGGTCACTCAACAAAGGTGTGTAACGTGTGTTTTTCCAGGTGTGCAGCTCTATGGGACTCCTTCCAACATGAGAGAGAGACGCTGGTCGAACAGATGAATGATTCAGAGAGCAAGATGACCATGTTCACTACAGCTAAAGCTGTCAGTACCAGCCAGGCAGAGGACAAGTGCCAGCGATACAGGGTGGGTCGATGTGCTACACTCACAACACAGACAGTATAGAAGAGGAGAACCAGGTGTTTAAAGAACTCATATGACATAGATGTGCTGTGAGCTCCAGCATTTGTTCTCACCGTGGCAGAAGCACATTAATATTTGAAGAGTGGAGTGTTTGTGTATTATTCCTAGTAGTAGTCACTTTTATGGGACCGTTTTAGTTTCTCATTGTACGACGTAAGTGTTTCAGGTGAACGTCTTTATAAAAGAGCTTCTGTGTGTCTGCTGTGTTATCTGCAGTCTCTGGTGGCTCGTATTGACCTGCTGGAGTTGCCTCTGAACGCTTTGAAAGAGAACGCAACAGAGTTGGAGCAAATCATCTCTGACTCCAGCAAAGCTGTCACCAGTCACGCTGTGTCATCACTATGGCAACGCTGGACCAGGCTCCGAAGTGTGGCCCGAGCCCAGGGGAGGGCGCTGGACGACACCGAGAGAGAGTGGAGGAACTTCATAGAGAAGGTCAGAGAAGATGTTCAGTGACTGTGTGTGTAGGTGTGTGTGTGTAGGTGTGTGTGTAGGTGTGTGTGTGTGTGTGTGTGTGTGTGTGTGTGTGTGTGTGTGTGTGTGTGTGTGTTCAGGCATTGCTCATACTGTTGGGACCTTATTTTGGGGTATAAAAAGCAAGTCCCCACAATTTCAGTCATTCAATTTTAGGTTAAATCTTGGTTTCAAATTCGGTTCAGGTCAGGATGAGGGAACCAGTGTTATGGTTCAGATTACAGTAACTGAGCATGTTTCTGTTTCTGCACATATCCAGGTTAAAGCTAAACACCTGTGTGCCTGTAGTCCATCTACTGAACTGCCAACATCTACTGATAAATCGGTATTTGCTCACAGAAGCCCTTACAGACACCAGTCGAGCAGCTTGTTCTTGCATTTACAGATTTGGGTCAAATACAGCAGCAGCTGAATAGCAGTTGTTCTCTGTGATGTAATTCCAGGCTTCGGGCCAGTTGGTTCCTCCTGCCAAAACCGTGTGTCATGAAGCATTTTCCCGCCTTTTGACCTATTTGGAGTTTGAAGGATGTGAGCTCCCAATAACACCCACAAACACTGTTCCTAAAGGGAAATGAAGTGGAATCGTACAGACGTGTCACTTCCTCATACGTGGCCCGTTCCAGCTGTCCACTGTTTCTCTGTGAGCCCTTTGTTCAGCTGGATATGATGTCATTCTCTGCAATCGGGTTGTGTTTTCTCCCGTTGCCTGTTACAAAGCGCCGTCTCATACGCTGAACACACGGTTTTAAAAGACAGTTAGTGAAATTAAACTGTCACAGGAGTGGACACATATCATTTCTGCTTCTCACATAGTTTTATTTGGAGGATTTTTGCATGTTGAACCAGGTTAAAGTGTCCAGAAGTCCACTTGAAACCACAAGAATCAGAGACGAGTCATAAACATAAATACAAGCGCGAGCATCTTGTCTCCCAGCTCCCTCATATTTAAACCCACATGCTCTACCTGTCCACCATCAAGCTGAGCACAAACAACTCTTTGATTTTTCAGAGGAGAATGTATGAAACCTTCTGTTCTTTGGTTGTCTGAGCTGCAGGAGCAAAGTGTTTGTGAAAACCACATGATGAATATCTGGGGTAGATGTCTCTTAGTAGCATCATGTTATTCTAATTTAACCTAACCAGTCAGTCCGCGCAGGTATTCAAGCTGACACGAGTGATCGTCCTCCGTCTTCTGGATAGTCAGCAAACTATCAGCCAGAAGGTTTCTACATCAGCTGAATGGTTGTCTATGAACTTCTGGCCCTTAGATGGAGAAAGTGCGATCTGTGTCCAAAGGCCTCCACAGTCGTGTCCCGGACAGCACAGTCGAGAAGGCAGCCACCAGGGCGGCGCTACAGAGTCTCCTGGAGTACCACGACTCTTTCAGCCTGGAGGTGGAGAGGGAGCAGTCCATGCTGGCCCTGCTCGGGCAACAGATCCGCATTCTCAGAGGGGAGCATGAGAGAGAAGATGTGATGGAGAAAGAGACGGAGAACGGACACGAGGAGACGCCGTGTCTTCGAGAGATCCGAAGCATGCAGGAGCAGTACGACAGGTGAGTGGGCGTGTGCCAGGTGAGTGGGCGTGTGCCAGGTGAGTGGGCGTGTGCCAGGTGAGTGGGCGTGTGCCAGGTGAGTGGGCGTGTGCCAGGTGAGTGGGCGTGTGCCAGGTGAGTGGGCGTGTGCCAGGTGAGTGGGCGTGTGCTGTGGCGCTGATTCCACAAACAACAACTAAACAACAACACGTGGTTTTCTACAAACAGAACATTTATATTGATGGCTTTTAGCAGAAGAATCATATCTAAACTTCCCACAAGGTGAAAACTGCTCTCATTGTCTGCATAACCCTCCAACAGAAGAGACTAAAGGCTGTGTGTGGCTGCATATTCTGTAATGTTCATTTTAAAAAGCTTTCAGTCCATATCTACCAAAATGTGTTGTGTGCTTTACTGCAATGCAAGTTAATTATCATATTAATGCTCTAAAAAAACGGTGTGAGTAGAGCAGCGTAAAACACATCCAGCATGTAGAGGTTTTAAAAATATAAATATTTAAATACCTACAGCATGTGGAGCTTCATTTTTTCAGTAACACATGTGGGCACCGAGAAAGATATTGTACATAAAAATAAATGTTTAAAAACATTCTACATTTATGGCATCATAACTGTCGACCAGCACAAAAGGCATTTTCAGCCTCTCTCTGTTCTCAGCGCTGGTTGTGCTGTTTCCATAGAGATGCAGGAGTTTGTGTTGCAGTGAAAAATGAGCCCACAGTGAGTAAAAACAGGCCTTAGCTCGGCATGTTGGAGGGTCACAGACAAAGACCATACAATGTCATGAACATCTCATTTAGATGGACATTTGTGTGTACTTTATTTCACTTTGTGTTACGTCTCCCTGTGTTTTTTTAGTCTTGTATTGCAGGTGCGAGCCAGCAGGACTCAGGTGCATCAGGAGTTAAGGGAGAGAGAGGAGGTCGAAAAAGAGCTGGGCTTAGTCAAAGGCTGGATCCAAGACACCCGTGGTTTATTGCTGAGTCCCACTGCAGACCTCGATTCACTGCTGCAAGAGCTCGAGGTAGGCCATTATATTTATACAAACACACTCCTGATATAGCCATAAATACAGTATAACATCATATAACAGACAAGGCTGAAAGGGATCTGCAGCCCTTCATGTGATGCTGTTTGCGTTGCAGACTGCACACGGTGAGGTCATCAGCAGGCGTCAGAGTGTGGAGCGTATGACCGAGCTGCAGCAGTCCAAGTACCAGGACCTCCAAGCTGGTCTGCCCTCTGAGCTCAGCATGCAGCTAGCTGAGGTGACTCTGGCTCTGGGCTCTGCTGAAGATCAGGTAACCTCTCCTCTCCATTTAACCTGGTTAAAAGGCTTCTCTTAGTGTTTGGCAGTTTAGTGATAGATGTGTATTTCTGGGGTACTCGGGGTTGTAGTGGTTAAGACTTACACCACATAGCCGCTTGTCCATGGTTCCTTTGTTGCCAACTCTCCTCCCACGTTTCCTATCTGGATCTCCTCTGCTGCTATCAATACATGCCAAAAAAAGAATATCAGTGTATGTTTCTGCATTACACTCCAGGTGCAGGCAAGGGAGAGAGAGGTGCAGCAGACCAGAGATGTGAAAGAGGACTTCAGCTCCAGACTTCAGGACATCGAGGCGAAGCTCAAGAACATTGCTCTAAAATTGGAAGACAAGGGTACCGACCTGGAGGAGGCCAAAGAACAGACCAAAGTAATCAAACAGACAGATTGACTAATTAGTGAGCAATTAACCCTTGTTAAATCGGCTATTCATTTTGCAGATGTTGAGGTTAATGAGTGTGTGAGAGTTGGAATGGCATGGCTTGAATTCTTGCTTCAACAGTGACCCACTTTGGAGAGGAGAAGTCCAGATGGGAGTTGGAGCCCCTTCCCTCCTGCTCTTCTTGTCTCCCAAACATTTTTCTTATGTCACTCCACTGCCCATCTGTAGACCTGAAAAGCCTCAAGTTTAAGAGCAGTTAAAGGAATAATTTGCCATCCTGGAGACATCCACGTGTAAAGTCCGCTAATTAATCACTGTTCCTGGCCAAGACATAGTCCGACCCACAGCCTCTCAGCAAACCGCAGCTTGTCGTCTGTGCACTGTGGATCACTTGTTAATTAGGAACTAGCTCTAGTGTAAGGGCATTCTCCAAAATGTAGTCTGATTGTATTAGAAATGAACTGTGAGCTTTTTAATGAACTCAGAGTGGCTCCTGGGATGTAAGGTTTACTGATGTCTACATTTCAGTTTTACCTCTCTCTTAGACTCACCTTGTTCTCTGACCTGTCTCCATCATTTGTACCTCCTCTCTTGGCCAGGCTCTTTGTGAAGAGTGTGAGTCCTGTGGTTCCTCTCTGGCGGAGTTAGGAGTAGCTGTGCAGGAGTTTGGAGAGCAGAACCCTTTGCTGTGTAAGCAGCTGGGTGATGCTGTGGCTAAGCTTACAGAGGTGCAGCGCCACACCACGCAGCAGGTCCAGGACAGAGCCAACGGACTGAAGAAGGTGAGATGGGCATTCGGTTCTGCTAGTCATGTAGACCTCCCCAAAGACAAATTACCAATATCTCTTACAGGAATAAAACCTTATTTCATAGCTTCATTTGTCAGAGTTTATGGTGTCAGAGAATTCTGATTAAGGATACATCCATCGTGTTCCATTAAATGACCTTCTGTACTAATTGTTCTGTCTTCTGGTCTTTTCTTTCACTTGTGAACAGGCAGAGAGACAGGTGGAGGAATATCAGGGCATGAAGGCATTCATTTTGAGCTGGACAGAAAAGGCTGAGTGTCTGGTCACCGGTAATATCATCTGGAGCTCTGCCTTCCAGCTGCAGGAGCAAATTCGAGCACACCAAGTGAGTCCTAATGAGTCTCACAGCAGGGAGTGTCAAGAGCTGCAAGATGTCTTAAAGCTGTTGTTGTGTTGTGCAAAAAAAAGATAAATATCATGTGTATGTTTCCACAAAAATAAATACCACTCTTTCCTGCATTAACCTATTAAATCTGATGATACCCCAGAAATTTGCAGCTAATTAGATTCACACACTTATTTGATTTCCAGTGAAATGTCATCCTGTACTCTGTGTTGGCCAGCCCTAATTAGTGTAATTGCACAACAGATAAGGCTCCTCTCTGGCTTGTAATTCACGTTCCTTTGGTGACAGGCTCTGCTGCGGGAGTGTCGAGGTCTCCATGGTGACTTGGAGGCCATGGCGGAAAGGGAGGGGCAGCTGGCAGATGTGTTGCAGACGGCGAGGTGGAGCCAGCAGGTGAAACACCTCAGCAGACGCACAGAAGAGCTGCAGCAAACTGCCAAGACTCGCCTCCAGAGCCTGCAGGATGCGGCTAAGGTAAATGAGCATCACAAGTGTCGAACATCAGGAACAAATCGCCTCAAATGCTTTTAGGATACTGTGATGAAATGATCATCATTTCTGTTAGACTGTCCACAAAATTCCATCTCCTAAATCCAAATCTGTTGGTGCATAACAAGAGCTGCACGTCCAACACATCAGAGCCACAACACAACAGTGCCCCCTAATGGTCACTCTGTGAGAATGACACAAACATGATGGAATGCTCTGCTTCAGCTTGTGCAGCAGTAATCAGTTACACTAATCTGATTGTCATACAGCTGGTTCCCACATGACATTCTGCTGCTGATTGTTGCTAATAACACTGTGAATTGGAAGTCTGTTTACCGTCCCTCCTGTGAGATAGACATTTTTCTGGGTCTACGCTGCAGAGCACAAGTTTAATTTGCAGTGTCTTGTAATTTAGTTTCGTTCCCATTAACTACATCTAGCTCGGTTATAATTCACAAATGAATAATTCAACAGACCGTTCTATTCATAGCTCAAACGAACTGAGAAAAACACGTTTGTAGGCTTATATTTCTATTAAAATGGGTCCACATCACCAATGATTTTGAAAATCTATTTCTGCCCAGTTCTGCTTTTTTACTGTGAATAGAATCTGCATTATAGGTTCATGATAAATATTAGCTGCTACTATACCTACATGTGCTTTCCTTTCACATGCCACATCCGTGTCGTTCCTCAGGACATGCTGCGTCTTGAGGCAGAGGTGAAGAGCCTCCATGCTGCTGTAGACCAGATCCAGGTCACGCTGGCTTCCCCTGACCTCAACAAGCTCAGCCTCAGAGAGCAGCTCACACAGAGACAGGTAAGTCCAGCAAAGTCACAGAATTCAAACATTGGAGCTAAATATCTGCACAGTGCATGCCGACAGTTGCATTAAGATGTTGAATGAGACCTTGCGTTGGTGTCTGTGCAGATTTTATTGAAGTACAGCAGTTTTAGACACAGTCTTACTTTATTACACACTTTGCAGCTCTTTGTTTTGTGTAACACCCCCTCTTTTCTCTTGTGTAAGCGTCTGCTGGTGGAAATGGAGGGCTTCAAGCATCAGGTGGCTGCAGTACAGCAGTGTCAGAGCGCCCTCCGGCTGCCAGAGGAAGTAGTGGCCAGTCTGCCGATCTGCCGCACAGCTCAAAGTCTGCAGCAAGAGGCCAGCCAGCTGCAGCATACCACCATTCAGCAGTGCAACATCCTGCAGGTAGAGGGCAGTCCTCATTTTATGAATCCTGTTGATCAGCTGTCAGATACAAAGTCAATGATTAAGGAAAGAGCAGAGCAGAGAGAGAGAGACTATGACTCTGGTTCAGGATTACATCACCAGTCAGTGTCATAATAATGTTACTCCCACCAGCATGTGTTCTTGTGTTACATGAAATGTATTAACCTAAATTCATCTAAGTTGTTAAATTATCTGTCAAGTAAACAGTGCAACAAGTTCAACTTAGCAGCTGAGAATACTGGTGTCGCTTTACTTTGTGGCCTGTTGGAGTGGATGCTCTCGGTTCTGCTTCGTAGTGTCTCAACAAGCCTTCTCAGGAATGTGTTTTCTGTCTGCCCCCATCAGGCTGGTGTTTTCCTCCATTCCTTTGGTTCTGAGCTGATTTTGATTTTAAGCTTATTGTTGTGAAGATTAGCCTTCAAAGGAAAAAGCAAATGACTTTCATCAGCCAGTTTATCCAAACGCATCATGTCCATCAAGAACTGAGGTGTTCAATCTGCCGTGTGCTGATGCTGCTCTGATCCAGAGTCATGCTTCAGACAGGCTGCTGACATGCTCAGTAACATCCTTAACTCCTACAGCAGTGGTCTGAATCTCATCATGGGAAGACTTTAAAGTCCACAATGAACAGAAGAGGTGTTAGCATCCCTCACTGTTCAAGTATCAGTCACATGTAAGATTTTATATTTGAGCTCAGTGTCTGTTTAACCTGTTCTGATAAATTCCACATAAAGAAACATGTGAACGTACTCAGATGGTATCTGTAGGTGACACTGGCCTCCCTGTGATCAGCAGCAGGAGAAAGATCATTTCCCTCCAGGGATCAGTGTTGTGCATCATGTGTTTTTTATGTTTGGTGTGTGACAGGAGGCCGTGGTGCAGTATGAGCAGTATGAACAGGAGGTGAAGAACCTCCAGAGATTAATAGAGGAAGCTCACCGCATCATTCAGGACCGTCCTGTCTCCACCAGTAACATCCAGGAACTTCAGGCTCAGATACACCACCATGAGGTACGCGAGGACGCACACTTCCCGTCTTGTTTTTACAGTTTCTATGTATGTGTTGAACAACAGATGCCCAAAATCAGTAAAGAGCTGCTGCTCATTACTGAGTTTGTGACTCGCCTGAAGGGATTTCCTCCCGTTCAGCCTCAGGAGCCGCTATAAGAGTGGACTTTGGGCAGTAAGGCCTCGCTCCCAAAAGCGTTTGATGTAGTAAAGTACAGGGCAGCACATTTCTTCTTGGCCTTACTTGTAAAACATTTACTTTGCTTTGTGCTCAGGCAGTGTCATGTTGAAACAGAAAGGAACCCAGCTAGCTGTCACCTCAAAGTTTACATCGTCTACAATGTCATAGTACAATCTAGCATGTGCCATCAGACTAGTCCTGCTCCAAAAATATACTTTCTCCACTGAGGTGGTCTTTATTCAGCCCATGAGCTACAGCTTCCACAGACCGACTGTAGATGAACGCCACACATCTGAACATTAGAAACGTGAGGCGGCAGCATGTTTCTTGTGGAGCTCCTACAGTGTTGTAGTTTTCCCTCAAAGCGCAGAATGTTTAACACGTAAGGAAATGAAACCAGTGACGACTTATTTAACGAGGTCGACTTTTTCACATCATAGAAACCAGAAAGAGAACTTGAGTCACTATGTTACAGTTTGAAAGAGCAAAAATAAGAGAAGTTGTGGCAGCAGTTCATCTGAAAGTAGTTGTTGGCAGCCGTCATGCCTGAGTCACACTGTGGCGTCGACATCTCAGCATTCAGCAGCGACTGAAGGTTTTGCTCAATGTGGATAATTTTCCATAAAAAGGGCCTTTTATGAATTTTACATCAAACATGTGAAATCACAAAACAGATATATATATATATATATGTATATATGATTAAATCCTTTTTAACCTTACATTCTTTGATCAGTGCCGTCGTTGTGCCTCTACAAGCCCGTCTCAGGCTCATTCCTCCTTCTATCTGAGGGCACATACATGTAATCTGTGCAGATAGACTGCCGCTGCTGCACAGTTTTCACCTGAGCTGTTCAAGCCGTGTGCTTTCTGCAGTTTCACTTTGCTGAGTCAGTGTGTTTGATCTCCCATGCGGAGAGGGAGATCGAGGAGGAGGGGGCAGAGCCAAAGACCTGCAGAGGAACGGAGGCACAACGTTTTTATTGCGTTTTAACTTTGCCCTGCATGGTTCTGGCAGATTTTTATCTATTTCCAAAACTGGACATGAATATATGGACTGAGGTGTTGGTGGATGTCTTCTTGTGACGGCACCGTGACTTGGTACGCCAGTGTGTTTATGTCCAAGTTTGATCTGTAAGCTGAGCAGAAAGCTGCAGCTCCACTGGCCCAGTTAGTCACATGACCTGATTATCAGCGCATTCACCATCTGCGGGCCAGAAGGAGCAGAGGGGCAGGAGGAGGAGGAGAGGAGGAGCCGGACCCAGTCTGCCGGCTCCTAGCATAGCTGTAATTTGATACCATCTCTGTCATTCTTCCTCCATAAGCACTCCCTCTCTCCTTGCGGCTCTCTTTTGTTAAAAGGAATCTGGCCCAGGGATTGGTGGAGCAGGGAAGCAGCCGGCGCAGGAGGGGGGAGGTGTGGGCAGTGAGGTCACTTCCTGTTTTTCCTTGCCATTTGTGTATGTGTACGAGAGGGAGTGTCTGAGGGATTTTGAACTATTTCTGCGAGGGTCTCTGTCTCAACCAAACATCCTGTCTGTTGGCTTCGCCACCGATCTGAGTCACCCGCCTCTGTGCTGCTGCGATTGGCTCAGAGATACAGAGGAGAGCGAGAGAGAGAGGGAGGCAGTGCTCTTCTCTTTCTACTCTTACTCACTGTGAAGCCAGAAGCGAGAGAAGAGAATGCGTTCGCTCCACTTACTCCCATCTACGCGGCACCACGTTCAGCGCTGAGCGACCCAGGACCCCCGTTCTACAGGATCCTGTTTAGCCAGGAACTATTGATCTTCTGCTGTGGACTGAGCTACACTCTCCTTATCCTGGGGGTGGTGGTGTTCTCTGTTTGCGGGGATGTTTTGACAGGAACTGGCCCAGAAGATCCGTGGCTACCAGGAGCAGATCGCCTCGCTCCACTCCAAGTGTAAGATGCTGACAGTGAAGGCCAAACACGCCACCATGCTGCTGACGGTCAGCGAGGTGGAGGGCCTTTCAGATGGCATGGAGGAGCTGAGTGATGAGGAGCTGCCCAGCGCTGTGGCCAACACCGCCACGGCTGCCACCAAGCAGCTTCCTGCACACCCCTCTGTCGTCATGGTGAGTGGCAAAGCATTTTTTTGGATTCCCACACGTGTGGAAATTGCACGGCTTGTGTGCGCATGTGTGCTTGTCTGTCTCTGTTGGCATGTTTTCTTCAGCTCTGTTCCTTCTCCCGTTCTGTCAAAACCACAGCTTCTCAAAGTAGACTTCAGGGATCCCCACAGGTCCTTCTGGTGCCTCCAGAGGATTCATAGAGTTCATGTCACAGCAATGTAATTAGCTCACTTATCCCTATATTATCCCTAATTAAAGGCTATCGGATGACAGTTGTGATTACAGCTTTAACTCCTCTCATTTACTCTTCTTATTCCTTATATGTAGTGATATCTGTACGATTAAATTAACAACAAGATAAAAGCTAAACCTAAACATGCGCCCCATGACAGGTGAGTGTATAGAGTGCTGTCCAAAAGGCAAACAAAAGTAATTTGCTGAGGTTTTTAAATACAGTAAGAAGACACAGTTGGGTTTGTTCGTCCATTAAATTCACACTAAGTCTAATAAACAGAAAGCAGAAGTCAAATCAATCATCTGGGGCGACCACCCAGCTGTCAAACAGCTCCCCTTCTCCTGCAGGAAGCCTTTCAGGGCACTTGGCAGGTAGGTTGCTCCATCCTGGACATCTTATGTTTCTGTGTCTTCATGTAACCCCAGACTGACTTGATCATGTTGAGATCAGGCCTCTGTTCTTCTTGTCAGTGAAGATGGCTCTTTTAGAATCTGGCTGTATGTTCTCGTGGTACAGAAGGAATCTGGGGCCATTCAGACAAAGTCCAGATCATAATGTGTGATGGATGAAGAGTCTGGACATGAAATTCCAGAAACATTTGTCCAGTGCTCCACCAGGTTCAGAGGTCCTCCAGTATTATTCCTTTTTGGCTTCTGTCCTGTTTTGTGCCTGGTTTTGGTATTTCAATAGTCGAAGCCTTTTTCTCTCATCTTTTCTTCACTTCAAGTGTTACTATTTTGGAAGTCTCCTCATGTGTATCACTGCAGGGATGTCCTGCTTTGCTTCATATTCGTCTGAGTCTGCCTGCCTGCTCGTATCGTATGTCATCCTGTAGCTGTTGTTTGTGGTGTGTTTCCTCTCAGCGGGCCAGGAAACAGGATATTACTGCGTGTGTGTGTGTGTGTGTGTGTGTGTGTGTGTGTGTGTGTGTGTGTGTGTGTGTGTGTGTGTTAGCCAAGCATGCTAGGTTTGTGTGTATGGTAGCGGTGGTGATGAACGGACTGCTGCTGTCCTTGAGTTCTTACTGTTTGACAGAGTTAGCATGTCGTCATTGTTAGCACAGTGCTGCTCAGTTTCAATGAACTCACTCTATTAAACCACTCAGTTTCCCACAAATGCCGGTGTGCTGATGCTCTGTGTTGCGTTGCATTGCATCATAAAGCCCGGGAAAAAGTCGTCTGAATATAAGACGGTCCTGGGTCGGTAGACCAAATTCTGCATGAACTGCCAAGAAGCGGCCCAGAAGGGCTCGGCTCACATTTCAGCTCTGCCTCTGTGCTGAAGCATGCAGGCTTCTAGGACAGCTGCTGCTGCTGTAGTCATCAGGCCCCGCTCCGGTAGATACCACATGCTGGAGCTGTTCTCTAAGCTCAGACCTTCCTGGGGATTTCCATTAGACACAAACTTCTCACTGTCAGTGGGTCAGTTTTCTTTTTTTACTTTAAACATACCAGTAAAGCCACTTTTTAACTGAACTTCTTTATCGAACAGTACGAGCAGTCTTGTTCCGGTTTTTGAAAACTCCTTGTAAAACATTGCTTAAGTATTTGAGATAATAAAATAAAACTATATGGATGGTGTTTAGAGGCCACCTAAAAAGACTATTTTTGATGAGAAGGAAATCACTGTGGTTCTGAACCTGTAACGCTGTGGTATGTTTGCATAAGTGTGTGGTGTGAACGGTTACTCTGTGTGTGTGTGTGTGTGTGTGTGTGACCGTCAGCTTCCTGCTGAAGGCCATTCCTGTACTATGATGTATTTGGTGAACCATCCCGGTGGCTCATCTACTGGCACTGAAGTCTGGTGTTCATTGGTTCTAGCACAGAGCGATGCTAACGTGGATGATGTTGCTGCTGCGCTACAGCAGAAGCTTTGCAGCGTTTCATGTGATCTAACGGGTCTCCTTTCTCTGTTATTTGATTACTGACTGTCTCTTTAATCAGCAAAGTGTGTGCTCACTGCGATCTACCTAACCTGCACTCCCCATTAATTTTTATATTCTTTTCTTGTCCCTGTTCATTCTTCTCTCTCTGTCTCCTACTCCTTTGATCTGGCTCTTTTCTGTTTGGTCTTCCTCCCTTTATTCCATCTGCTTCTTTGATGTGTGTGTGTGTGTGGTGTGTGTGTGTGTGTGTGTGTGTGGTCAGATGACAGCCGGCCGCTGCCACACACTCCTCTCCCCTGTGACAGAGGAGTCAGGGGAGGAGGGCACCAACAGCGAGGTCTCCTCTCCCCCTGCCTGCCGCTCCCCCTCTCCGGGGGCTAACACTGACGCTCCTCTTAACCAGGTACTGCAAGTCCCACCTCCTAACCTCCTGTCACGCTACCGGGCCGCCCAGCTTCCATACAAGCCTCGTCCACTTCATGTGTCACACCTCAGACTTTCTGTCATCACAACCATCACATGATGAAGTAAAGATGTCCATCTTCAAGAGTCAGTAACCAAATCTTCAGCTGTGTCTCCTGTTAGAAATATGTGAGAACAGTTTGTTTTACTGTCTCAGATGTTTTTCAGTTCAGCATCACTGACTGATGCAGCTGCTGTCATGCATTTAACCGTCTGAACCTCAGCTGGTCTCGCTGCTGTTACCAATAATAGAAGAAAGATGTGACTCCACAGATCATTCATATTTTCTACCTACATTTTCAACACACCTCCGTACTTGTCTCCTGTATGCTCTGTGTGAACACAGCCTGCAGTTCAACCACAGTCCCTCAGTTTTTATCACGTGACTGTTGATCACAGCTGAGTCACTGCTGGCTTCACTGTTGTACCGACAAATGCAGAAGTTTTTGTTTTTGCAGAATCTGGTCAATGAATATATTTATTTTTGGCCATTTTTAAAATACGATATGTGGAACGGAGTGTCACATTTTAAAACTTTTGGTTTAGATTTTTTTTTTTTTTTATACATTTTTTTGGGCTTTTGCCTTTATTTAGCGCAGTGGAGAGAGACAGGAAAGGGGGGAGAAGAGTGAGGGAGAGACCTGCAGCAAAGGGTCGTGAGCGGGATTCGAACTCACAACCGCTGCGTCGGGGACTGTAGCCCCTATTCATGGGCCGCCCGCTCAACCAGGCGAGCCACACGGGCGCCTTGGTTTAGATTTCTAACGTCACAGAGAAGTTCAAGGACTGATGGGAGGTCAGAGTTTGAAGATTCTTTGTGTTTGTTCTGTTTGTGTAATTCTTTATGCCTTTCAAACCCGCCAACAAGCTTTAGGGTTCAGAGGATTAATCTGAGTCCAGATTGCTTGATAAGATGGACATGTTATTTCTGCACCCATCCCGACCCATTCTCTCCACCATCACTCCAAACCGAGCCCACCACCAAACCATGGCCGCTATCACTTCAGTGTATCGTGTGTTTGTGGCAGTTGGAGAGGTGCTGTGTTGTCCCTGCTTCCCTTATTTTCAGCAGTATGTTCACATATTTACTTTGCTGAAGACATTTTCTTTGCTGCTTGTTTTCTGCTATGATAAGACTGAGAAGGTTTCTCTGAGCACAGCATCGATGCAGCAGCAGGAGGAGCGTTCTAGTGCAGCCTGTTGCTTATAATGATGCAGCAGTGGAACAGCAGCACTTTGTTGGTCTGGGAGAAACAGCAAAGGCCATACTTGTTGTTTAGTTGTTGTTGTGAAATGCAGTATTTCTGTTTTGTGAAGTGTTGCTGTGGTTTTCTGGTGCAAGAAGAAAATCCAATAAGGTCAAAGGCAGCTGGGCAGTGATAGAGGGGAAGTATAACCGGGGAGAGTGCAGCTGAATCTAATGGGACAGATAACAGATTTCACTCACAGCTCATAGACAGAGCTCGCTGGTCCTGGATACTGACACAGGCAGCAGATTCACTATAACAGAGAAACACCATCACCACCGAATCATGACTCATGACTTCATCGGCCATTTCATTTTAAGCTTCAATTGAAATGTGACGTCCTGTGAATGTGGTTAGAGGACAGACTGAAGACATTTTTATTTGACCGGTTATTGTTACTTTATTTAAAATGAATGTGTCACCAGTAGCACGCGTGTTCAGCACTACATATACAGCACATGTTCCATAGATGTGGCAGTTAAAGGAATCTATAGTGTGTTTGGGGACATATCAGAACCAGAACACGCTCTGACTGTCACAAAGCTGCTGTACGTTGCTCTGACGCACTAATGAAGCCCATGTTCACTGTGTCGTTGTGCCACAGGGTCGAGGGACACTAAACCGAGCACCACTGCAAGAACTCTACGACCCGTCTCTAGAAACCAGCGCTGCTAATTTGGATGACCTGCAGAGATCCTGGGAAACACTGAAGAATGTGGTACGTCAGCTTAATTCGACTCAATCAGGTCACTGGGTTGTATTTCCAAACACTAAAACTAAAACTTTTTAGTATGACTGAACCAAAACAGTAGAGATTGATCTTGATTGAAGAAATCCACATGGCTCCTGTAACCATTAGACAGCTATGAGCGTTATCACAGAATCAGACGTTCATCTTTTCTCTTATTATCTTGACTGCAGTGTTGCCAGATGTCAGATTGCCTCCGTCTCCACAAACCACGAGACAAACTCCCTCCAACACCTTGAGTTTATAATCATTTCTCTCTTCTTACAGATCAGTGAGAAGCAGAAGAGCCTGTATGAGGCTCTGGAGCGGCAGCAGCATTATCAGGAATCTCTCCAGTCCATTTCCACCAAGATGGAGTCTATCGAGGGGGCGCTCAATGAGGGCCTGGAGCCCAACAAGACCCCTGAGAGCCAGATGGCTGCACACCAGGTGAGAGAGAGAGGTGGTATGAAGGGGGTCTACTGGACAAGTGGTGTTCATGCATTGGTTAAAGTAGAGGATCAAAGCAGAGTACAGCTAATGGCAGTTAGCATAGCACTATAATACGTTTCATGTTTTCTCTGAAGAAGAAAGGGGACAGCTCTTCAGGAAAAGACAAAGATGACAATAAACAACCAGCGCTGGGAGAACAGAGAGTGATTGAGGGGATTAATATTGCCCGAGGCCGTGCAACGGTTGCACAAACTGCATGGCACTGTTCTCCGTTGCTATGCCAACGTCACAGCTATGGCCAAGTCAGTTGCTTTTAGTAACACTACTGTCAGGCAGTTTGGACAAACCCTCTTTTACTGCTGCTGCCTAAACGTCTGCTTTTCAGTCCCTCCGTCATTAATTCCCATTAGCTTTCTGTTCTTCCAGGAGGTTCTTTTTATTTGACCTTCAGACATTTGTCATCACTGTCTGCCTAGGCTCTGATGGATGAGATCCTGATGCTGCAGGATGAGATTGGTGAGCTACAGACGTGCTTCTCAGAGGAGCTGGCAGACAGCGACAGTGATGGGGAGGCAGGTGACCAACTGGCCCTTCAGTCCACTCTCACCGTGCTGGGGGAAAGGATGGCCACCATACGCATGAAGGCTTCTGGGAAGCGGCAGCTGCTGGAGGTGGGCACTGGAACATCTCCAAGATTCCCATATCTGTCTATCCAGTCTGTCTTGTGTCTCAGTTTTACACTGCTGGTGAGCTTTATGGAGGAATCTAACATGTTTTTCACATTGGCCACAACAGGAGAAACTCAGTGAACAGCTGGAGGAGCAGCGACAGGAGCAGGCGCTGCAGCGGTACCACAGCGAGGCCGAGGAGCTCGACCACTGGCTGCTCAGCACTCGAGCTACTCTCAGCTCTGCTCTTCAGCCCCAGAGTGAAGACATGGACATGGAGGAGCAGCTCATCGACTGTCAGGTGAGATGGAACGGTGGAAACATTAGTTTGTCAAGGACGGCAGTGACAACTTCTTCTGTCGTGAATTTTTCTGACAGTCAAAGAAAGCCTTTCATCTGAGTTCCAATAACTCATCTATGCCCAGTATGAATGAATTAATGCTGCTGGTTTGTTTAGAAGGAGCTGCCAAAGCATCTCCCTGATTAACAGTTCCATAGGTAGTGCCGATCCATGGAGTGGATACTGTTACTGTTACTGTTTTAGTCACACATAAAGTTTATCCTCAGCAGCAGGAGAAATGAGCAGAGATTTTACTGTATATCTGATTTAAAACAGAACAGAACACGAGTCCTTTATTGTCCAAAAAAGACACTTCTTTGTAGGATTAAGACTCTGGGATTAGGATTAAGGTCCGACCCTACTTGTCCTCCAACATTCTTCCGTCAGCATTGCTCCCCTACTCAGACATGTTGCCATGGTAACATTGCTTTTATCTGTGGGGTAATTAGCATCCATGGCTAAATGGTAGCGACGGCGGTGGCCGTAGGCACGTCCTTGTAAATATTCAGGGTTTTTGGTAGGAAGTCGTGCCACAGGGACTTTTCCTGACACTTGCATTCAGTCGTGTTGCTGTCAAACATTTTCTGTGTCTGCACCTCAGCTGATGTTACACTGACACTGCAGGTTTGATTTAGGTTGTTCTTGCATTGCCCATTAAAACAATTGTCAACAAATAATAGTCAATAAATATCAAATATAATATCAACGATATCTTCGGTCTCCTGTCTGTAGTCTTGCAGTGGGACCCTGTTTCAGAATCCAGCTTTAGGATCTTCTAGCTGTGATGTACAGGTACCACACTGTTCGTTAGCACAAGGTTCTGGATCCAGCTTGACGAGCCTCTGGGGAGTTTTACACACTGGAGCTGGTGTTGCTGCTACGTCACATCGTAGATTCCTCATAGCGGATGATGTTGGGTTCTTGATTAAATGTGGTTTTTGGGGGAAGTGGGTGTTGTAGCTCCCTGCTGAGTTAACTCCAACCCTAAAGCTTGTATAACGAATATGTTAATTCTACATGTACAGTACAGGCTGAGCTGGCTGAACGGACTGATGTAAATGTATGTTTCATCATTCAGCCGGTGACGCTCCATAATTGGCTCCTCAGCAGTAATAATGTTGGTTGTGCTGCTCCGGCGTATTCGTGGCAGCTGGGAGACAGTAAGCTGATTATAGCTCACATATGCCTCCTGTGGTGCTCAGGTCTAAAGGTCCAGCCCATGCTCAGCTTCATCTCCATGGGGTAAAAACTGTCTGAAAGCAAAGATTATGTCAGTGTAGATACGCTGGAGAGGATAAAACGTGTTCTAGGATGTGACCTTAGAGGAGTGTAGTGAAGGGAAGAGCTCTGATGTGGAGGAAGTTAGACTGGGAGAGTTCTAATAAATAAAAGGTTTATTTAAGCTTTGATACCAGATGAATAGACGCTGTGATTGAGGATCGTAGTGTAAGTTGGAAAGGTATGATTGTTTTTCCCTCGGTTTTGTTTGACTGATTTTACCTTGTTAGCTATTCAAGCTAACAGTCTGTTCATTTAAACACTTATTCTACAAGAAAACCACCTTCCTGTAAGCAGCTTAACACCCACCTCAGCGTGTCACTGGTCGATGTGAAGACCTCCCTTAGTCTAAACTTTTAGGCACACATCGTATTATCCGACAGCAAACTCTACTTGTTTTGTCCTTGCATCAGGCAGAACAACACATAAAAAGAATTACATACAAAAGCTATTTCATCCTTGGCCACAAAGTAGGAGGAGCTGTTGGGAAATTTAAATAACAAGACTATAAGGAGGCTCTTGGGGTAGAAAGAGGAGCAGGAGCTGAATGACAGAGCAACAGCTCTAAACTGGAGGAAAAGACTGATATGAAGCACTGTGTTGCTGCTGAATGTCCTGTGAGGAGAATCACCTCCCACTTCAGCTGAGAGGCCCTGAAGTGACACAACCTTCACCCCCTCTGGTCCACTTCCATGCACTTGTTGGTACTTTTCACACTGAGTCTGGACGTGGGAAGGGAGGGTCCCTTTTACCCTTGTTTCTTTTCAGAAATGAATTAGGGGACTGAAAGGGAAATAGATGAAGCCTGGGAAACATAATGATGGTGTGGTTTTAGAAGAAGACATTACTTTATTTCTACAAACTGTAACCTTGCGTTTACAGAACATGCTGTTTGAGATCGAGCAGAAGGTGTCGTACCTGTCAGAGCTGTCCGTCCACAGTGAGAGCTTGTTGTTGGAGGGTCGGGCTGAAACCAAAGGAGAGGCGGAGCAGCTCTCCTTCAAACTGCGCTCCCTGAAAGACAGCCTGCTGGAGCTGCAGCAGATGCTACAGGACAAGCAGGTGGACATACAGGTGAGATCTTGTGTGTTCATCTCTCCGTGTCCTTGCATTCAGTAACCAGCCACATGCCCACATTTTTCAGTCTCTCTGCTTCTTTGTCATTTAACTTGTGCTGTGCTGCATTATGCTGAACTGGGTTACTGAGTCAATGGTAGTATTGTGCAAAAAAGACTAAAGGTCATTTCATGTTCCTTCATAGAAGTCCACTGTTCTCTGCTGTGGATCAACAACAGCCTGTGTGTCTCTCAATAGGCCTCAGACACGAGACAAAAGGATGCTAACTCATCACATGCAAACACTACATGTCGAGCACCAGGTGTGCTTCTGATGACCTTTTTGCTTTGTGCTTTATGACCCATTTGAGAAAAACACATTTTCCTCTAAAACCTCTCAGTTTTCACAGACACTAATTTGCAAAGACCGTCCTATGCGTTGCCACTGCTGGCCTCCCTCAGCATGCCTTCTGGTTACCAAGAACATTCCTTAGCCAGTAAATCAGTTTGTTATGGTTGAGGATGCTGCAGCAGCATTCTGGGCAGTTTGAACTGCTGACAGCAGTCTCTGTTGTTTTGACAGTTGCTTGCACAATGCTTTAATGCTTCATAAAATAAATGTTTGAACAGTTCACATGTTTAATGTTTCCTGTGAAATAACGGACTTCACTTTGGTAGTAAAATGTCTCCTGGAAGTAAAAGTGACAGCAGGATCTAACAACTACTGCTCTGAAGCTCCTGCTCAGCCCTGACCTTCATCTGTCTCACAGGGTTCCCTGCAGGAGCAGGAGGACAGTGAGCCGGACTCGTCTCTGTCACAGAGTCCTAATGTGCAGGACTGGCTGTCTCAGGCCCGCTCATCACGCACACAGCAGCACCACGACAACCTGCTTCGACAGAGGGTGAGATCAGCTTCACTATATGTTTAAGTGGCCTGTGCTGAGCTTGTCTTCACTGCTTTGCTTTGCTTCCCTGTGGGATTTACAACTAAATCAGTTAAACCTTGTAGATAAATCTAACACAAGTCTTTTGTTTTCTAGGAGCTGCAAGAGCAAGTAGCTGAGCAGAGGAGGCTGCTTCAGTCAGTGGCCAGCGTTGGGGAAGAGCTACTGAGCCAACAGACCACGCCTAATGGGGACAGGTACGTCTTCTCTGTGGCTGCTGGTGTACATTCACTAAACTACAGGTAGCAGACGAGTGAAAATACCAATAAACACATCACCTTCCTCCACAAACCTGTTGGCTGGGTTCTGGACCGACATTAATCAACAGACATGAAGAATTGCATGTTTAGAACATGTTTAATTTATTGTGATAATGTTTATTAATGCCCAAACAGCATGTTTCATCCTTAAAAAAAACTTAAACAACTGTTTTGACGTTTCCCGGTCACACAGCATTTAAACCATGTTGACCTGCAGGGACCAGATATTAGTCTTTAGTGACACCTTCTCCTTCCTACAGTGAGGTCTCCATCCCTGGTGGAGTGCTGCTGGAGACTGAGACCTTGTCTCCTCTGGACCAGCTGAGGCTGAGATGGGAAAACCTAAATAAAGATCAGAGCACTAAACTGCAGCTCTCCCTCAGTTCCCTGGAGCAAGACCAGCTAAGCCCGGTACACATGCCACATGCTGTGGATTTGTATTTTCTGAAATAAATCTGTTTTTTCAGTATGTGATGTTTTTGAGAACATGTTTGGTGTTAAATTTTACCTACATTAGGAGGACATTGTTAGAGGTTTTGTTTATACTTTTTCTTTCTCTCATCTAGTTTCACACTGTCGTCGTTGTGTTTCTGATTTTCATTCCTTGTTCATGCATCACTCTTTGTGTGCAGGTTCTCCACCGGTCCCGTCTGTCCAGTCCCAGTGTGGTGTTCAGAGGCGCGCCTTCCAGCCAGGACTCTCGCTCTCCCAGAGCTTTGTTTGAGGCCTGCAGCCAGACCCTGGAACGAATCGCCCAAGAGGTGATTTTCTTACTTTAGTCTCTGTTTGCTTATGCTGCTGCAGGAAACTCTGTATGTTTAAGCAAAAATAAAAACATTCTTGCTGATAGCTTTCAAAGCCCTGAGCAAATATATGTTTTTTCCTCCTCACAGCCACCTGGCAGTGAGAGTAAAGTGGCAGAGTGCTTTGGAGAGGCAGCAGTCCAGCAGGACCTGTATGCTGCAGTATCAGCAGCCTCCACCTGGTTGGATGCTGCTGAGAATCAGCTGCTGTCTGGTCCTGTGCTGCTGTCTGAGGACACAGAGACACAACTCTCAAATCTAGAGGTAAAAGCAAACTAATGATTAGTTTTGTTCATAAATAAAGATATATAATAGTTTGACATGTAAATCACAGCAGAAAGTGAATACAGTATGATTACCTGCATGTTTTATCAGTAATGGTCCTTAAATAACTCAGAGTTAGTTTTATAATGAAACTGCTAGCAGGGAATGTTCCAGACACATAATTTAACATCAGCAGCCAACACTCTGGTGGAGAGATGGACCAGCTGACGTCTGCTGCTCTGTCCAGGGTCTGAACAAGCAGCTGAAGGAGATAGGCAGGGAGGTGAACCAGTGCAGAGACCTGCTGGGTGGAGGACAGGGCCGGCTGTGTGGAGGAGAGGAGCGAGCTCTGATGGAAGACACACTAGAGGGCCTGCAGGAGAGGATGGGCCTGCTGGACTCTGCCCTGGAGCAGCACTGTGACGGCATGAGGGACCGGCTGCAGGAACACTCAACCTTTCAGGTCTCAAGGCTCAGCTGTTACAAAACAAGTCTGGTTTTGATGATGCTGCTGCTGCTGGTGGTGGTGGTGGTGTGATGCATCTCACTATATGTTAGGGATGCCAGCTTCATTGCACTTATCTTTACTGTTGTTTCTGTAATTTTGTCAGAATGAACTGAGGCTGCTGTTCACAGCCCTGACTGAAAGCAAACACCTCCTGCTGCAGAAGATGGCTGGAACTGTAGACAGACCTGCATCCAAACAGATAGAGGTACGACGCCCAGGATCAGCAGATACACATGAATTAAAGTATGTTTCAGAGGCCTAACGCACATCTATGAGGAGATGTCAAGTGAGTATGTTGTGTCTTTTGTAGACGTTGTCAGAGGTGGAAGAAACTCTGAGGGAGTTTGAGCAGAGAGTGACTGAGCTGAAGTCCAGAGCAGAGGCACTCCAGTCTGATCAAAGCTCCAACCAGGAGCTACTCAAACTACAGGTACTGCTCCTTTCCTCTTCAGCAGTATCCCTAAGGGTCTGAACATGTGAGCACTGTCATGGCTAATGTCTGACATACTGATGGTTCTTCTCAGGATGCATATGAGGAGCTGGTGCTCATGGTGGGCTCCAGACGGAGTAGCCTGAACCATGGCTTGTCTCTGAAGGCTCAGTATGAAGCTGCCCTTCACGACCTCACTGACCTGGTGGACACCGCTCAGGATAAGATGGCTGCTGACCAAAAGATGACAGTAGCATCTGTCATAGAGGTCCAGATGTTACTGGACAAGCACAAAGTAAGGAGGGTGATGAAACAGAGCAGACTTTTTTAATAGATTAAGTCCTGTGTTACCTATTTCTTTCTCCTCTAACGTTGTCTTTAAAACTTGTCCTGTTTAACTACAGGAGTTTTTCCAGGGCCTGGAATGCCATATGATCCTCACCCAGACATTTTATAGTAAAGTGTCCGGTCTAGTGGTGCAGAGGGAAAGCCAGGCCCTGGAGGAGACCATGGCTTTAGCTCAAAGTGTGCTCAAACAGGCCCACAGGAGGGGCGTGGAGCTGGAGGGCATCCTGGAGGTGGGAATAATTATGAATTACTGGGAAAAGTAGCTGTGCAGTTTCATTCAGTTCAGCCCCAAAGTGCAGCAGTAATATAACAGAAAACACAGGAGATAAAATGGTGTTTTGTTTCCCCCCCATCTCTCTGTCTCACAGTCATGGAGCAGGCTCGTAGAAGACTATCAGGCTCTGTGCAGACAGCTGGAGGCTGTGGAGTGTAGCATCCCCACTGTAGGTCTGGTCGAGGAGACGGAGGAGAGGCTTGTTGAAAGGATCAGTCTGTACCAGGTACGCCTCTTTATACTGACTGGACACAAAGAAATGCATCCATGCAGTATCCACATCTGATCTACCCTAAAAGCTGTTGTCAGACATGCTTCTCAGAGGACTGCTGAATTTTTATAATTTTAAATATTGAGATGTCTATCTGTGCTCCCCTGTTTGTTACAGTGTCTGAAGGCCAGCCTGACAGAGCATCAGCCCCAGCTGTACCAGGTTCTGGAGGAGGGCAAGAAGCTTCTTCTGTCTGTTGGCTGTTCAGACTTGGAAAACCAGCTGACACAGCTGGGAGAGCACTGGCTCTCCTCCACGACGAAGGTCAACAAGGAGCTGCACCGCCTTGACTCGACACTCAAACACTGGAGCAGGTCAGGGCCTGTAGCTGCTCAGCTCTTTGAATCAGTCTGTCAGTGATGCTGTTTGTGACACACAGAGGCTTAAACGAGTCCCATAAACACGGAGACACGATAGCTGCCACATGAAAAAGTTCTTGTCTCTGTTCGCTGCCACTATTTGATAAAGGAAAAAATGCCCAAAAATGATTTTATCAAGAATCCCTTGAACTGTAATACTCTGTCCTTTGTGTTGGTCGACCACAGATACCAGAGCGAGTCGGCAGAGCTGAGCCACTGGCTGCAGTCGGCTCTGGACAGACTGGAGTTCTGGACCACGCAGTCAGTGACCGTGCCTCAGGAACTAGAGACCGTCAGAGATCACCTCTGTGCCTTCCTGGTCAGTTACCACACACCTATTGATCATATCAACTTCAGCTTATTCCAATCAGTTTGTTGAGTGTACAGTTAAAATCCAACTTCTGTTTGTCCTTTTTACAGGAGTTTTCCAAAGAGGTGGATGCTAAGTCATCTTTACGTTCATCTGTGCTAAGCACAGGCAACCAACTCCTGCGCTTGAAGCGAGTAGACACAGCTGGCCTTAGGACGGCACTCGGCCAGATCGACACTCAGTGGGCTGAGCTGCTGACTCGTATTCCTGTCGTCCAAGAGAAGCTGCACCAGGTACAAGAACAACAGCTATTACACTTTAGTGACTGATTTGCAGGGCTTTTTAGCACAGCTTTGTTTTCAGAAGAGACTTCACAAAGACATCAACACTTGTCCTAGTTTTAGTTTTCAGTGGTAGTTGGTATTAGCATTAACATGGCACAGTTGATAATGCTGTGCTCTGTACCTCTGTGCTGGTTTAACCCCTCTCCTCTGGGCCATCAGCTGCAGATGGAGAAGCTGGCATCACGACATGCCATCACCGAGCTGATGAGCTGGATCTCTCTCATGGAGAACATCATAGAGGAAGATCAGGACAAGATCATGGGAGCTGTGGGCTCAGAGGTGGTTCAGAACTTTTTGCAGAAATACAAGGTACAGAACGGTCTCCTTACAAAGAAAACCTTTATGCAAGGCCTCTTTATATTGGTTCTGTCTCCCTCGTCACATTCTGCCTCATCTTTTGTCTTTCCACAGGGTTTCCGCATCGATCTGACCTGTAAGCAGCTGACTGTGGACTTTGTGAACCAGTCAGTGCTGCAGATCAGCAGTCAGGATGTGGAGGGAAAGCGCAGTGACAAAACAGACTTTGCTGAGAAGCTGGGAGCTATGAACAGACGGTGGCAGATACTTCAGGGGCTCATAGCTGAAAAGGTAGTGTTTGAAGTGTAGCTCAGAGTTGCTCTGTTCTGGTTTTAGCTCCCCATTACTGGATTGTTAAATTGTCCTGAACTTTCTATTTTATTTCTGTTTTTTGTGTTTTAGATTCAGCTTTTGGAAGGACTTGTGGAAGGTTGGTTGGAGCATGAAAATGGAGTCCAGGCCCTAAAAACCTGGCTCACATTACAGGAGGAGAAACTGAAGAAGAGACACAGGATAGAGGATGTAGCATCAGTACAGAACGCACTGAAAGACTGTCAGGTAGCGGCGTAGCACGCCCAGACACGCCACACAGGCTTTCTAGAAGCTCCACAACGTTTTCTTAACGTAAAATGTTGTTGTTCTGGCAGGAGTTGGAAGAATTGGTGAAGGAAAAAGAGAAGGATCTAGAGAAAGCAGAGGATCGAGGAAATGCTCTCATCCAGAATAAGAAAGGTGCAGCCTGCTCGGTTGTAAAGGAGACCCTCAAAGGACTGAATCAGTCCTGGGCTCATTTGGACCACATGGTGAGCTTCTCAGATCCCTTATCTAGCCTTTGACTGATTATTTAATTTTCCCACGCTCACATGTGTTTGTTCTTCATCTTTCCTGTCAGATAAGTCAGATGAAGGTAAGCCTGCGGTCCGTGCTGGAGCAGTGGACCTTGTACCGGCGAGCTTCAGAGGAAATTAATGGTTACCTGATGGAGGGAAGGTATTCTGTGTCCAGGCTGCACCTCCTCAATGGATCTCAAGAGGCGGTGCAGCAGCAGGTGGAGAGCCTGGAGGTGAGGACTGCAGGAAATATGCTGTCTTCTGGAAAGTGGCACATCCCTGTAACAGCTGAGGGACTGTAACCTCTCTGGTTGTCTGTGTGATCCAGAACCTGCAGGATGAGATGGATAAACAGGAGAGCAGTTTGAGGAAGTTTGGCTCAATAACGCACCAGCTACTGACCGAGTGTCACCCCTCCGTGGCTGAAACGCTCAACAGAGCACTCCAGGACGTCAACGTCAGGTACAAACAAAAAGAGGCTTCTCACTCTCTTCAAGTTTGAGTTGCACTTAAAATTTTAAATGTAAACCATCCACTGGGTTGATCTCGGTATACAACCTCTTTTTCATTCTCTGCTGTAGGTGGAATCATCTACTGGAGCAGATCTCAGAGCAGCTGAGGAGCAGCAAGGCCCTGCTGGGACTGTGGCAGCACTACAGGTCGTTGTATGGCCAGTGTGTGACAGCAGTTCAGAAACAGGAGGAACGAGCCGATCGCCTGCTGAGGAGCGCCACTGACAGGGAGATCACAGAGGAGGAGAGCAGCGCCTGGATAAAAGACTGCAATGTGAGTAGAGGTAGTCCAGGAAGTGGAGCTGTCTGCCTTATGGTCTGTCAACATTCTTTAATGTCATGTAATTTTTTCAATTCTTGCCGGGTCCCGTTTGAGCGTTAAATTATTACGACAGCCATGTTTTATGTGGTGAGATTTTCCTGCTCAGCATCAGTCTCCTAAACGGCTCGTCAGCTCGCTGTGAGGGTTCACAAAGCCTCCAGCCCTCTGCAGAAGACCAAACTGCACCCCGTCCTTTTGTCTGCTTGAATGTAGATTCAAAGCACAATCTAACAAAAGCCTTTTGAGACAGACTGCAAAGGGAAAGACAGGCCTCTGATTTACACTGCAGGGGTCTCCTGGTGTCACACTGGGCTTCTCAGTCCATCCTGGGTGATGTCTGGAGACACTAGTCCTAGCACTGTAAGCAGGATCACTGATGCAAAGACAAAGCGGTTAACAGTTCAGGGCTGTTGCATGAGCTGTTTAAGACACTGTTCTTTAGTTTTTTTTGTTTGTTGTAAGTAATGGTGTACAGCTCACACATGAATGTTCCTGTTTGATGCACCAGAATATAGCTTTTAGTGAATTTGCATGTGGAGTACCTTGGAAGGTTAAAACAAGAAAGCAGCAGAACAACAGATAAATGCTGAATAATGCAAAATACACAGTTATGCAGGAAAGAACACCCAATACAAAACTACACACAACAGCACACGACGGGCTTCTCATGAAAACCCTGGAATTAGAAAACCCACGCCAACCAGTGCAGAGGTGTGCAAACTTTAGAAATTAGTTTTAAAAATTCTAATAAACCTGCAACCCCTCAAACTGTCTGTCAGGCTTTTCTGTTCATTTGTGGCTTACACCAAGAAGGTGTGTTATGATCCCCATACGGGGCATCTCTCCATCTTTGGTGCTGACCAGAGCTCACAGAACACTTAATGCCTGTTTAGTCATTCATACCTTGAACAAATAGTTCTCTTTGAGTTCGGTAAACATGTCACACTTATGTCAGACTTTGACGAATGCAGTCCTCTGGATGAAAAACAAAACACATTTTGAATATGACAAGGTTCTGATTACAGATTCCTGTGTGTCGACTATGTCTGCACAAGCATTCACTGACTCTCCTCATAACTCTGGTCCTGGTTCTCCTGTTTCTCTGGTGTCATGGCAGGAGTGCCTTGGTGACCAAGACCAAGTGCACCAGTCGCTCCAGCAGCTGCAGGCTTTAGGGGAACAGCTGAGGAGCCAAGTGGACGGCTCTTCCTCGGCGTCCCTCCAGTCTGACCGCCTGTCACTTACACATCGCCTGACAACCCTGGAACACGCCCTGCACAGGCAGCAAGAAGTCCTGCAGGTAAGGTGTCAGGGATTATTAGGCAGAGGCAGGATGAGATACACGTCACTCTTCCTCCTGTACATACACCAGATATGTGAAGACAGGGGTTCACACTGTGTCTGTGTGACTGCTTCCAGTCTGGATCTCAGGCCTGTGAGGGCTTCAGGGAGCAGCTGGACACACTGATCTCTAAGGCTGCAGAGGCAGAGGAGGTGCTGAAGGAGTCGGACTCAGTGGACTCGCCGGAGCTCACTGTGGTCCAGACACGCATCGAGAAACTCAAGGTATGAAAAATGCTGCCGTTGCTGTCGTCTTATTTTTGGAAAGTGTTGATGTGATAAAGTCTCTGCTGCTAAAAGCTTTGAATTACTTTGAATTAAAATTTTTCTCTGTTGTTCTGTATGTTGATTTATGAAGCACGTCTGTTCCTGAAAACATGTAAAAATGTTTTTCCAGGTTCACCTGTTGAAGCTGAGCAGCTTATCTCCAGACCTGGAGCGTGTTAACGAGCTGGTGTACAGGCTACCGGTCAGTGACAGAGATGTTAAACGGCTGCAGAGTCTGAACAGAGCCTGGGCCACTCACTCTGCTCACCTGACCGAGAGGCTCAGGTAAATACAGCCTTCGTATTTCACTTGTTTGTAGCGGCACTGTACACTCTGAGTAAACAGTAACCACCAGACCAAAACCCACCACCCACACAGATGAACAACTTCACTTTTTGAATTGCACAGATTTGATCTTTGTTTTGTTTGCTGTCGAAGCATAAAACGTACACAGAAATGTGCCAGTTAGAGCTCATTGAATACAGGAAACCAACTATGTTTTTGTATAGTTTTATAATAAGACATACTTTAAGAAACATTTTTTACTGAGATATCAGGTACGGCTGTACAGATTCACAGTAAGATGCTGTTTGCTGTCAGCCTTCAAGCCTCCTGCTGTAAATATCAGTGAATCTTTAATAAATAGGCTTTAGGTCATGAAATAATGAAGCTGCTAAAAGGACAAAGATGTTCCACTGACCCTGAAGAAACGCTGGAGATGCCTGTTAACCTGTCTTTCATTCTCTGGCAGCTTCTAGATGGTTTCTATGTACGCAGTATAAAGAGTTATAAGTCTTTTGTACAGTAATAATAAAGTTAATAGGACAGTTCTGAATGTGTGCTGATGTGGATGTTTCTCTCTCCAGTAAACTGCAGTCAGTGTTGCTCCAGCAGCAGAGTTTCCTTCAGAAGTGTGAGGCCTGGATGGACTTCCTGTCTCAGACGGAACACAAGCTGGCTGCTGAGATTTCAGGAAACTACCAGAGTCTGCTGGAGCAGCAGAGAGACCATGAGGTCAGAGTCGCTGTTTGTCTATGAGTACATGTACGATAGTAATGAATGCTGTGTGCTGAGTGTTGTCCTTGGATGTGTGTTTTATTGGTGTATGTATACCTGCAGTTGTTCCAGGCGGAGATGTTCAGCAGACAACAGATTCTTTACTCCATCATCAGTGACGGGCATCATTTGTTGGACCAGGGACAAGTGGATGACAGGTGAACCAACACACAGTGCTCTCTGTGTTCTGCCTGTCTGAACAGAATGGATCCAGCTAACGAACTGTTTTCACTCCATCAGCGACGACTTCAGTGTGAAGCTAGCGCTGCTGAGCAATCAGTGGCAAGGTGTAGTCCGACGGGCCCAGCAGCGAAGAGGCATCATCGACAGTCTAGTCCGCCAGTGGCAGAACTACCGGGAGATGGCAGAAAAGCTGCTGCGCTGGCTTCAGGAAGTGACCCGGGATCCAGATGTGCATCAGCCAGGAGAACCAGTGGCACTGCAGCAGGCCCGAAACCTGCTGGATCAGATACAGGTGAGGACTGTTTAAAGCCTCATTACCTTCCTAAAAAATTTTTTTGGGTTAGGTTATCTAAAATCTGTGTGTGGTTCTGTATCAATCAGCCACCATCCTAATTAGAGTGAAGCTTGTGGCAGTTCAATCACTGACACTCCCACTTCATCTTTAAAGAAATCATGTTGTCATTCAGCTTGTCTGAAGAGTTTTCATTTTTTATGAGGTCACTTAAATAAGGACTTTATACAAGTGCAGAGCCTCGACGTTTTAAATCCACCATGTGAGCTTTTTAAAAACTTGCTGTGTATCCGTTTTTTACCTTAAACTTAATTAAGCACAATGAACCTAAACAGTGTGAACCCTGCTCTAATCAACCTCACCTTCCCCGACCCTAGAGTCCCTTAGCTAACCTGTACCCCCTGTGGCCTCTGTCTCTGTCTCTGCTCCTCCAGCTGAGGGAGCGAGTGCTTCAAAGGCAGCAAGGAGGCTACATCCTGACCGTGGAGGCCGGCAGGAGCCTGCTGCTGTCAGCTGATGCTCGGGCTGAGTCCACCCTGCAGACAGAGCTGATGGAGATTCAGGAGAGGTGGAGGCATGCCCACCACCGCCTGGACCAGCAGAGGAGGGAGCTGCAGGGTTTACTCAAGGTCAGACTCTAGCTGGAGTCATCCTGAAGCTTTGTCAAACTTATTCTGTCTTTCTTTTCCCCTGTCTTGGTGTTCTGTTGTCTCCTGACAACATAGTTAGGTCTGCAGGTTTTTTATTTTATTTTAGGCTAATTATTCCCATTAATGCTCGTTATTTTTTATGTTTGACTGTTACCAGTTTAATTACCTTATAGTGGAAATCTATGAGGTTTGCTGACAATCAGTGCTGCATTATTGGACATCCTGCTGCAGGCCTGTGAGCTCCTGCTTGTGCACAGTCAGCTTTGCAGGCTAAGCTGTGTCTCCAGCTATCAAGGGTGCTGAAGGGCATTGGCCCATCTAGGCCTGAAATGAGCCAACCTGGCTGTACATGTGGGCCAGTGAATCCAGGTTACAGCTTTAATTATGCAGCATTGCACCTTCAGTCCTGAAAACAGCTGAAGTGCAGAGATGTAGCCGTCCTCCATCTTCATACCAACAGCATCTCTACACATGCACACTCAAAAGGGTACGAGTGCACAGAGAGGAGAAATGGCCAGCCCATGGCACACACACACACACACACACACACACACACACACGGACTGCGGGCTCTGCAGTGAGCTGTGATGATCTGAACCCTGTGAGGTGGATGTTGCAGGCTGTGTCAGTGCCCTGTTCTGAAAGAGGCTGAATGACGCACTTTAAAAGATGCATCCGGGCTTTCAGCGTTTTTGTTGAAGGTCTTCGTCATGACCTCGTTCTCCTGCAGCCTGTCTTTCTTCCTTAGTTTACGCGGCTGCTGTCGCTATTCTGTTATCATGACTCCTTCTTCAGGTATGCTGCTTCGCTGCATTTCTTTCCAAATATTACCATGTTTAATCCTTAATAGGACTGTATCCTGAACTCTAAAAATAGCCTAAACCCATGCCCTGTGGAGCAGAACCGCTCTCGTTTGTTACTGAGCTCTGTTAATTCTCTTCTTTGGCTGGCGCATTTTTGCTGAATCACTCTTTCTCACGGTGGTGGTTGAGAGGCTCACAGCTAAGTGGGTCATCTACGGCATAAGAAGTGATGTGGGCTGACTTCAGCCATGCACTGATGTGAGTGTGTGCGTGTGTGTGTGTGTGTAACGGTGTGTCTGATGATGATTTTGCAGCTCTACTCTTATTGATGCCACTGCTGCTGCTGCAAGAAGAGTTTGTGTCAGCTTCTGTGTGTACAGGAGGGTCTACTGTCCATGCTTATGTCTGCACATTTGTGTTTTCTGCTCTGATTCTTATTGTGTGTGTGTGTGTGTGTGTGTTGGTGTGTGTGTGTGTGTGTGTGTAGAACTGGGAGAGATGTGAGAAGGGCATAGATGTGTCACTGGAGAAACTGAGAGCCTTCAAGAGAAAGCTGTCTCTGCCGCTGCCGGACCACCATGAGGAGCTACACTCAGAGCAAATCAGATGCAAAGTAAGGACGATACAACACACACACACACACACACACACATATATATATATTTCCCCTTGAAGTTGTTTTTTCTCTCATTAAACACATGCTCACTGTGTCTCTCCCTCTTTCACACATGCACACACCCACAGACTCAGACTTGTCCTACTATTACCCCTTTAATCTGGCTGCGAGGACAAACAGATAAACAGACAGATCAGCAGCAAAAAAGAAAAAAAAAAGCATGTGTATTAGTCGAGCTGCTGTCCCAGTGTCTGACCTTGTTCAGTCGCTGGTTTTATTTCCTGCTGGGACATCACATCTTTGATGTTTGCGAGTGATGCTTGGTGTTTTTGTTGTGCTGCACATGAGTTCGTCTTGTCATAAATCATTATTAATACGACTAATTCATGCCAGGAACTTGTTTTCTTTATTCACGTCCACAGAAATTTGTGAGTAAAAATTCCCATTATGATGACTTTGATGTTAGCCACTGGTCACTACATGCAGTCATGTTTGATGCATGACACGTCCTCAGCTCCTCAGGGAGGAGGAGGAGGAGGAGGAGGAGGAGGAGGAGGAGGGCTTTGTGAGGAGCTGCACAACGTTAGCATCAGCTGAGGAGAGAGGGGGTGGGGAGAGAGAGAAAGAGAGAGAGAGGCTGCGTGCGCATGAGAGAGAGAGAGAGAGAGAGAGAGAGAGAGAGAGCATCCTTGTGTAGGCTGTGTGTGTGTGTGTGTGTGTGTGTGTGTGTGTATATGTGTGCGCGCGCATGTGTGTGCTTCCTTTTGTGTGTGTGTTGCGTAATGGACACATTCTCCCGGACCACAAATGATTACAGCACAGCGACACCGTCACAGTGACGGAGGAGGAGGAGGAGATGCAAGGTTAGATGCTGCTGCTGCTGTATCCTGCCTGTATCGCTGTAGCGTCTGTGCTTTAGCTGAACGTGAAGGGCTGGTGTTTCTATCTAAACCAACATTGAATTCCTGCGTTTGGCAGATCTGTAATGTTTCAAGATGCCTTGTTCTTGTTGTGCTGCTCATTGTTAGTCTGCTGTTTTGTATTTTCTCACTGTTTCTGAGGATGCTGCATCTGAGCTCCAGTAGAACCAGTCTGTGGTTTCCTGTTGGCTCTGACTGTGGCTGTTTGTTATGAGGGAATGATTCTCTCTGGACTGTCCAGTTTCTCTGTTTGCCTTTAAAGCTACGGGTCACTCGCCTGTTTCCTGTATTGATATCTTGTCATGTCATGGATGCAGGAGTTCGAGAGCAGTGTGGAGGGCTGGACCGATGACCTTACTTCCTTGTCTCTGCTGAGGGATTCCTTGGAGGGTGTGGTCAGCGCTGATGACATCACAGTCCTGCAGGAACGCCTCCAGCTGCTCCAGCGCCAGTGGGAAGAGGTCTGCCACCAGGTAAACACACACAGTGCACATGCTTGTCATGATTCCTTATCTACTAATTAAGTGCTTTTTCAATTTAATTTGGCAGTTTTTTGCCCTTAACATGCCTCATCTACTGAAAACATTCACAAGAGATGTAAAATATGAGAAATGTGTGTTGAATGAATGTGTGCCCTCAGCACATCCTAATGCAGAATAAAGCCTGACTGGAGATAGAGCATGCTAACAGCTGTAGCACATCTGGCAGAGAGAGAACTCGTCTTTTCATCCATGGCTAACATGTCAGACGTTACAGGACTGTTACTGTGAACTGTGTTGCTGTGATGTGTTTGTTCCATTTAGTTTGTCCTGATAATAACAATAACTCTGTGCTATCAGAGACCTTTTTATTTAGTCTCTCATTTATCTTCCACCAGTTATTATGTGACCACATATTCCGTGTCTTAATCTTTTCACGCATCACTTCCTCTGTTGTCTGTATTCCTCTGCTGCTGCTTTTCTCTTGTGCTCTTGTCTAAAAATCCACCTGCCTTTTGTCCCTTCAGCTTTCCCTGCGCATGCAGCAGGTGAGCGAGAAGCTGAATGAGTGGGCCGTGTTCAATGAGAAGAACAAGGAGCTGTGTGAGTGGCTCACACAGATGGAGAGCAAAGTCTCTCAGAATGGGGACATCAGCATCGAGGAGATGATTGAAAAGCTACGCAAGGTAATTCCTGGACACCGTCCTTACAGAAATATACCTGACATGCAAATATGAAGAACAAATATTTTCATGTGAGGTTTTCTGGTGCTGACCACGACTTTTATTTGTGTACGTAGTGCTTATATGCATAAATTATCATTAAACTTGTGTTTCCACTGTGATTGTCACTTTGGTTGACAAAGCATCATCTGAACTTTCTGGTGAATCTGAACATTATCAGCACAGAAGGTGCATTTCTCTGGAAGTCTTGACTCACTGATGGACTGCTGGATTACAACGCTGGACAAACACATACATTGTGCATCACACTGACACCTCCCTGTGTTCACCTGCTCGGTGTTTGTCCAACAGGACTACCAGGAGGAGATCGGTGTAGCTCAGGAGAACAAGCAGCAGCTGCAGGTTATGGGTGAGCGCCTGGCCAGGGCCAGCCAAGACAGCAAGGCGGCCGAAATCCAGCACAAGCTCAGCAAAGTCAGTGAGCGCTGGCAACACCTGCTGGACCTCATTGCTGCCAGGTGGGTGTACAGGCTCAGGAAACCAGGTGAAGAGTGGAGAGTGTGTGTGTTTGATGGCAGAGTTTGTGTGGTCTCTGAAAGTGGATTAAACTGTTGGCAAGCTGGAAAAATCATTCCTAAGACATGTGGTTCAGAGAGTTCAGGGTCACTGGTTTTTCTGATGAATGGCGAGCTCTGGGACTGACTGACCTGAGGCCAGCCAGACGAGCCAGTCCTCTAATGACCGAGTCCATCTAAAGTCCACTTGGAAGCCAGCAAGCAACACAAGATTATTTTTTATTTTTCTCATGATTTAATACAGAAAAAACAAACTCCCCTTTCATTGCTGAAAGTTAGTGACCTGACCCAGACTGACTCCAACTGCCCCAGCTGCCCCATCCCCCCCCCCCGGCTGTCTTCCGGCTGTTGCCCTCTGGGACTGTGCTGGAGAAGGGAGAAGGGGGAGGACTGGTTCTGACTTTATGCAAACAGCTGCAATCTCTTTGTCTCTTATGTCCTCTCTCTGCTAAAAACAACCAGGAGAGGAGGTTTGTTGGTGTCACAGGCAGCAGAGAACCAGTTCTAGTTTCTTTATTTTTGTCTCATGGAGAGATCCATCCGTGGCGTCTGAACTTTGGATTTTTTGTGGAAACAAGGATTTAACACGTTTCTTGGAAAACCTCTCTTCAAGTTCTGTCCATTGAAATGCAGCTACATGCATGGAGCCTACAGCTCGCTCTTCTGTCCACACGCCGCCTGTGTGATATTCTCTGCAGCACATGCCTCTGACTGTAAGTCTCTTTTTAGAAACAGCAGCACTTGTCACTCTGAGGCACTCACAGTTACACACTCACACATGCCTGCTTGGGGTTCTCTTTTTTTAACCTTGGAGAGCAACAGTTGTGCCGCCCCACCACTACCTGCTGGTCCTCCCCCTGTGTGCACACAGAGTTTAGAGAAAGTCCCACGTGGAACTCGCAGACGAAAGAGAGGATAGTTTGGATCGACACGCTAACGTTTCCTGGCGTTAACGTTGTCTTTGGGACTCCCGCACCCACATGGTTTTGGATTTGGGAATAGATAAAATGGCAGGATGCCCGAGCGAGGAGGATCTGCCGGACTGCGACTGCGATGTCAACAGGCAGGAGGATGTTTATTATGCTGAAGCTTTTTAAATGACAAAATGTTGATGTTTAGAAAACAGAATGCGACTGATGCTCGTGGCTCTTGCAAAGCTACTTCATCTTCTGCTCCTCAGACATGTGGTGTTGTGAAATAACTCCTGTTTCAGGATGTAAAATCACACATACATAGAACTGAATGATCACTGTTGTGATTTCAAACGTCTGATTTTGTTTGTGTTGCTGCATCAGGTTGTACAGGACCGGAGGAGCTGTAGGGTGGTTCTGCCCTGCATACTTCAAGAGATTGTTGTTTTAGCTTTATGATGACTGCACATCTGGTTAATCTAGTGCTTAACAGTAATGTCCCGTGTCTGTTTTAACCATCTGGTATTCCTGAATAGGGTGGAGACTGACAACAGCAGACAGTTAAAACAATAGCAGGAGTGTTAACGTTAGTGTGAGAACATCATCATGTGCTGACTCACATCTGATCAGACCTGATTCAGTGGAGCTGTGCAACCTTGTACAACATATAAGCTGAAATTCATTTTTTAAAATGATTTTCCATCGGTGTTTGACAGGCTTGTTGCCTGCAGTGGATCACGTTTGTGTCTGTACAGTCTATTTTCCTACAGTGTCAACAGCTAAGCTACTGTGGGATGCCTAACAGCTGGTTCAGGAATGTTAAGACGCGGTGTGCAGCTGATATAACGCAGCACTGAGTACACAGCACATCGTAGCTGGACCAGTACGTCAGTCTCTTAATAATGCTGAGTACATGTGGAGGAGAGCTTTTAATGCATCTATTTTTGGAGAAGTATGGGCTTTTGTTTTTTTATGCAACACAGAACATCTGCAGCCTTCAGTCCTACCAAGTGTGTGTGGTGAGACAGTGAGCGTTGCATTGCTCTGCAGGGTGAGGCGCTGAATGTTTGACGAACTGATGTAAGAACAGGATGCTGGCTCTTATAGTTCACATGGACTGCAGAGGCTAGTGTTTGGAAATGTCTGGCACGTGCAGATCCAAAATGGTCCCCAGTTGCTGTGTGTGGTTCACATAAGGTTTCATCACTTCCCTACAAAAATATCTGCTCAGATGTGAAGCATTACTCCTCAGACAGTCCTGGTCTGTTAGGCTGAGCAGAGCAACACACAGACTCTTCATTACTTTGGGTTCACAGTATGGATGGAGCCACAGATTACTGTCTCTAGTGTTTTTGGTGACATGTTGTGTGTGTTATTTACAACGATGCAAAAATCTGTAGAAATAAGAATCATGTCCTAAAATTTTACACTTTGCTGAAAACATCATTTGACATGTTCACACATCTCCGCAAACACTGATTTCAACTTGGATTTTCTTTCATTTGATTGTTTTCTTTTATTCATCAGTTGTATTTACAGTATATTTTACATTTTCTTCCTTCACTGTTTCCACTCGTGTTGACTTCCTGTCTCACTGTGTTTCTGTACCAGGGTGAAGAAGCTGAGGGAGACCCTGGTAGCAGTACAGCAGTTAGACAAAAACATGAGCAGCCTGCGTTCTTGGCTCGCTCACATCGAGACCGAGCTGTCCAGGCCCATCGTCTACGACACCTGTGACGACCAGGAGATTCAGAGGAAGCTCAACCAGCAGCAGGCAAGAGGCTCACACACACACACACACACACACACACACACACACACACACGAGTCTATCAGTGTGTTTACAGACCTGTAGGTAACCTGACATCAGGTCAGTCTGCGTTGGGCAGTTAAACATTTTGCAGCATTTGAGCAGTATGTGGTCAGCTGTCATACGTACAAACGACAAACACAACAAGCACATATGGATGTTGTGAGTCTGTCATTCTCTGTAAAGACTAAACTGTAGCAGGACCGTATGACTCAAACTGAGTCGGTGGAAAAGAGTGACACAGAAGCGCATGAGGAAATCAAAACCTGACTCATGCATGCATCTCTGGCTGTTTGCTAGAAGACAGTCCACTGTAGGTGTCAGGAGACTTCCTGCTGCCAAGATTCTGCTCTAAATCTGGACTGGACTCTGAGACCCCGCTGACCTCCTTCCTCTCCAGAGCTACAGCTAGCTTACACGTGGATGCACCGTCGTGCAGTGGGACTGGGCTCCTTCGGTACACTAGTGGGAGACATTTGCTGATTTATGGCACAGAAACACTGTGATTAGTGTCACAGAACGTAAACAGAAGCACAGCTGGAGAAAAGACAGAAAGAAGGCCAGCAGACATGAAGCAACATTTAGAGAGATACTAAATGCTGATTATTTAACCGCTATGTGTGAAAAGCTCAAGTTCTCCGTCTGATTGTTTTGCAGGAGCTGCAGAGGGACATAGAGAAACACAGTACAGGTGTGGCGTCTGTGCTGAACCTGTGTGAAGTCCTGCTGCATGACTGTGATGCCTGTTCAACAGAGACAGAGTGTGACTCCATCCAGCAGGCCACCAGAGGACTGGACAGACGCTGGAGGAACATCTGTGCCATGTCCATGGAGAGGAGACTGAAGTCAGTAGCTCCTGGATAAATGCACATTATTACAGAGTTTATGAAAACACAACCTCATGCACCTTTGAAGACACCTTTTCATAAGCTTTGTGGTGTGTTTGAGGTTTTTTGCTGAAGGACGTTTGGTCAGTGTGGCTGAATGAAGTGCTGTTAGTGCTGCTGTTAATGAACATGTGAGCAGACATTACCTCCTTCACAGCTTCACGTCTTCTTTGCAGGATTGAGGAGACCTGGAGGTTGTGGCAGAAGTTTCTGGATGATTACTCCAGGTTTGAGGATTGGCTGAAGACCTCAGAAAAAACAGCTGCCCTGCCGAACTCCTCTGGAGTTCTCTATACTGTTGCGAAGGAGGAACTTAAGAAGTTTGAGGTGCGTCTTTCCAGAATTTATCGCCACAATGTGGAGTAAAAGACAGCTATATATTCATAGCTGAACAGACGGTGTGAGTAACTGGTTTTAAATGTGGTTTTTTAATGTTTCCTGTTAAACAAAAACATCTGAATCGAATGCAGGGCAAAGCAGAGACCGTCGCTGCAGGACAGAGTAAACAGAGAGAAAGAAAGAGTAGCGTCATGCTGCTGAAACCTGTTTGCACTGGTCCGCTCAGCTGCTGCTGTCCATCACTGAGCACGTGCACATTCCTGCTGGCTGACTGTCTGGACCGGGCCACTGCCGTCGGCCTGTGTTCAGCCTGACTGGACATTGTAGTCAAACGTAGGGTTTAAGATTTGAAATGTGAAACTTGTTCAGGTTGTTCTGGTTCGGTTAAATGAGCACTTCTTGCATTTTGCTCCAGACATCATCGTCTGATTGAACCTTCAGCTGACTGCTGTGACTGTAAATATCAGGAGGAAGCAGGTCTGCATGTTTGTAACGGACATCTGTCATCCTGATGCAGTCGGGTTTCTCAGTTCCTCGAGCAGTTCTTCATCCATGTGTAGCCATGATGCAGCGCCACAGCTACGAAACAGAGCAGCTTCTCTGGTTCACGCCTCATTTTCTAACCGCAGTTATTTCAAGTTATTTCAAGTGTGATCAGTTTAGCTTCAGCGATCACTGGTGAACTCACTTCTGTTGCTTTATTTGTTTTTGTTTGTTCAGAAGAGGAACTGCTGCACTGGTTTTAATGCAGTTATTGAAAGTGTGTGTGTGTGTGTGTGTGTGTGTGTGTGTGTGTCTGTTACAGGCCTTCCAGCGTCAGGTGCAGGAATGTCTGACTCAGTTGGAACTCATTAACAAACAGTACCGTCGTCTGGCCCGGGAGAACCGCACAGACTCCTCCTGTCGACTCAGAGAAATGGTGCATGATGGGAACAGGCGATGGGATAACCTGCAGAAGAGGGTGGCCGCCATCCTACGGAGACTCAAGGTAGGGCAGTGTGAGGTGTTGCTTTGAAGCCTTACAGAGGTCTTGGCACTCACAAACCCTTCCTCTCTGATCCCATTTGTTTAAAACTAACTTCTGGAATTACTTTTCCACATTTACACTGAACCTGTGTGGAGACAACATCGTTGTTTTGTGGGTCTGCTTCTGTTCTTGCAGCACTTCATCAGCCAGAGGGAGGAGTTTGAGACGGCCCGAGACAGCATCCTGGTGTGGCTGACGGAGATGGACCTGCAGCTCACCAACATCGAGCACTTCTCTGAGTGCGACGTCCAGGCCAAAATCAAACAGCTCCGGGTAAGACGGACGCCATGTTGGAATATGCTGAAGATTCCAGATGTGGTTCCTCGATGGCACAACAGCCACAGCAGCGCCTTTAGTTTGGAGCCAGCATGACAAAGAACGCAACTGACTTCCAGTTGTACAGATTGTTCTGTTCTAAACATGAACGTGGGGAAAACGTTAAAGCTGCTCCAGCTGGGTTCCAGTAGAAACGCTCTGTGCTGTTTATCAATGCTTTGGTTAATCGATTAGTCAGCAGAAATATATTCAGCTGCACCTTTTACAGGCAAATGATTGTCAAGTTACTTACCAAGGGAACGTACCACTGGGTAAACGGTCTCAGATGTAACATTTGTTTTTCTTCTTCGTGTCACTCTAAATTGTAAATCTTGACAGTTTTGATGTGCTGCTTTAAATCTGACTGTGATGGAAATGTGCTGCTGGTTTTACTGGTTTCATGATTTGAGAACTGCATTTCCAGGCGTTCCAGCAGGAGATCTACCTGAACACGGGGAAGATCGAGCTGGTGTTCAGGCAGGGCGAAGCTCTGATCGAGAAGAGCGAACCTCTGGATGCAGCCGTCATCGAAGAGGAGCTGGAGGAGCTGCAGAGATACTGTCAGGAGGTGTTTGGACGGGTGGACAGATACTACAAGAAACTCACACGACTGCCTGTGAGTAAAGAAATATTAGCTAGCCTGCAAACCTACAGGAAGACAATCATCCTCCAGTGGACGTAGCACCTGGATGCTAATGTATAGGCTAAAGTGAAGTATTTCAATTCAACATGCTGTACGCTTTTCTTAGCACAACTTTTCAGGACAATTGTTTGTCAAAGTTGGGGCGCCGCTACAGCTCACCTGGTTGAGCTGCTGTCCCATGTGCAGGGCTACAGTCCCCATGTGGAGGTCATGAGTTCGAATCCCGCTCATGAGCCTTTCCCACACGTCTTCTCCCCACTTTCCTCTCTCTCTCTCTCACTGCACTATCAATAAAGGCACAAAGGCCAAAAAAAGAAAAAGTTTGTCAGAGTTGCATCCAGACCGTCCAAACAGAAGTACAGCAGGTGTTTCTTCCTGGGACAAAACCGTACTCTGTAAAATCAGGTCTTAATGAACAGGATTTCCTTCTGATTTATTTATTTATTTGCTGGGTTGCGTTTGGAAATCTCCCTCCTCTTCACGACAAGGACCTGAAGGTGCTCTGTCAACACAGGACAACGTTTCTCAGCAGCCGTGACGTGGTGAAAACATGTCAGAGTGTCACACTGACAGCTGTTTGGAAATAAGAGACCCTCCCTTCCCTGTTAGCGTGTTAGCATGTTAGCAGTCAGTAGAACACACATGCTGACCTCACAGAACCTCAGAACCCTGCTCCCTCTCTCACCAGTTTTATTCTGCTCTTTCAATGAGAAGCCTTTCGAACCGTCACTGTTTCCATCACTGCTTTGTCTCCACTGTCCTGCGTTCTTTCTGCCAACATGTTCTCGTCCGTCTCTCCCAGCTGGCAGATGATGAGCTCGATGGTTCGGACAGAGAGCTAGAGATGGAGGAGGGTGGAGATCTGTCTGAGCTGCAGTGGGGCGACTCCTCTTTGCCCCGGACCTCCAGTCGTCCAGCGTCGGGCACAGCGGCACTCATCCGGGCAGACCGCTCGGGCCGCGACACCCCGGCCAGCGTGGACTCCATCCCACTGGAGTGGGACCACGACTACGACCTGAGCAGAGGTCTGGAGAGTCCTGGAGGACGAGGCAGCGGTGAGAGGAGCCGAGGTCCAGAGGAGGAGGATGAGTATCTGAGGACGGCTGCCACGGTGCTGTCAGGTTGGTCCACTTCACTGACTGTGATGCTTTCTGGTGGATTCAGTTACAAGATGTTCTGCTGACATATTATTTCAAAGGTCAGTCATTTTCTAATATCTGTAAAGAACCATCCAATGAGGCGCTCCCTGCTGGGGAAACAGAGCCAGTGTTGAATGAGGACCTTTCCTGTGAATCCATCTGATTCCCAGTGAGCACACAGCGGAGCAGCTTCAGATGTGAACGTTTTAAGTTCGTCTACAGTGTTTGGCTGAAGGCAGCACGTCATTCATGATGTATTATCAATAAATATAATATTATGTAGGATGTAATGTTGTTTCCAACAGAATGAGCGATGTTCCTGTAATTAGAACTAAAGGATGTTCTTCTTTCTGAATAACTTGTCATTATTAGGAAGACGGAGTTACCTGCAGTCGTCCTCACATGTATTCACACCCTCCCATTAAAGAAAAGGCAAAACTCACAACAGTCACTCAAATAACTAGAAACTGACAAAAGGAATAATAAATAAAAATTTTCTGAATTATAATTTAGTGAAATAAGACATTGCTTTTGATTTGTGGTTGAAAAGAATAATTTAAAAACAAACAAAACTTTCCCATTTAAAAAAAATAAAGAATTTCTGTTGAAGCACAATTCAAAACAATGTCATGATTTTCATTACATTTTTATTTATTATTACTTTTGTCAGTTTCAGCTTATTTCAGTGACTGCAGCTGTTGTTTTCCTTCTTTAATGGGAGGTATGAACACATCTGAGGACGACTGTATGAGATGGGCTCAGAAATGCTGATAAACATTTGTAAAAGTTTTTAATTATTATAACATCATTAATGTTTTATTTTGAAATAAAATTCATGAGACTGAAGTGGTCAGAGAGGCTTTAGCGGTGAGGAAAAAACATGAACTTTCCAAAACATGTGAGAAACTCAACACTCAGTCTGCCTTTAAAGATAAAACACAGATATCGTCATAACTGTGTTTCCAGTGTTGTAATGCGGCTCTAAAGCTTTTTGCTGCATCATTCATGTCACCTACAGCTGTTTAAATGAAGTCCAGTTGTTTCCTTTAAACATGTGCCAGTTGATCTTACAGGTTTAGTCTTCACCTCAAACCTTCACAGAGATAACAGCAGTGTGTGTTGTATGTGTCTCTCCCCAGATGTAGTTATTCCAGAGAGCCCAGAGGCCTATATTAAACTGACTGAGAACACATTGAAATCGTCCTCTGGTAGGAAACAGCATGAGCTAGAAGAGCATGCCTTCAACTAAACCACGCTGTTGTTTTAACTTGTTTACCAGAAGCTTACTGCTGCACTGAGAGGCATCCCTCAGGCTGGATGTCCCACCATCTAGACAAACCTTCTGCATGCAAACATGTCACCATCACGTCTTCCAACCATTGCATTTATAACACTGTTTGTTTTTTTCTCTCATTCACGTCTAATGAATCATGTTTGAGAGCCTGACTGTGGTGTTCTTGTCTGTGGTGCCATTTCTGTTGCATTTCAGACGTACGCATGCCATCTCAGCGTCACTCAGCATCAACAGCATGCCAGTGGAAATGTTGAAATGCTGTCATTGAAATCTTTGCTGTGACGGTTCCCTTGACCCGTGTTTGCTCTGTGTTCAGGCGAGCCGGGTCAGCTGGAGGCCAGTCTGAGGCAGCTGGATCAGGCTCTGGATGCAGGACGGTATCACCTGCAGCAGAGAGAGGTCACCGCCCAACGCTCCACCCCCGACATCGACTCCACATACATGGGCTACGTGAGTGCCACATCGCATCATGACGGATCGTTTGTCATGTCTAAGACACCTCACATGACAACACGTTGGCAACATAATATAGCTTTTAATTTAATGAATCTTTGCCTCTAAAATGATGATTACACTAAACATTAAAGGATCTAGTTTGGCCACATGTGACACACAGATCTCATAAACACAGACTATCCTCAGTAAAATTAACAATCAGATGTTTTTTGTTCTTCCTGATGACCAACTAGGAATGTGATCATCATGGTCTTAGAAGACGTAGACCTTCCATCATTAGATTTAGATACCATCCAGATTAGTGTGTTGACGCTGAACAGATCATGTCCTTTATGTGATATTATTATTATCTGTAGCCGGGTTTTCTTCTGTGTTCTTACATATAGTTTAATTCTTTAAAGACAACAAACCAAACTTCATGTAGCGTGTTATGATGTGTGTGCAGATGCGTCTGATGGGAGAGTGTCGCGGGAGCATCGATGCAGTGAAGAGAGCAGAGGGAGAGCTGACCGAGGACGAGGACGACATGCCGGGACTCACCAACCCCACCAGCCCAGATATGCAGAGCGCAGGTCAGTTACACACACACACACACACACACACACACACACACACTCTGTACTTCCTGTGCGGGCTGTGTTAGATGATCTGTTTGTTGTAACCTCCAGGAGTGATCGAGCGCTGGGAGCTGATCCAGGCTCAGTCTCTGAGTGAGAAGCACAGACACAAACAGAACCTGCCGCAGTGGCAGCAGCTGATCTCAGATCTGCAGACCATGAGGGCCTGGTTGGGTCAGTCAGAAGCCGAACTCAGCCAGCTGCGAGGGCTCGATCTCAGCACGGACATCCACACCATCCAGCAGAGGATCAAGAAGCTCAAGGTTAGTGACCTGCACATACGTGTGCTTCTGCTTCGGCTGCTCTGTTAGAGCTGCTAGGACGTAGGAACACATTCAAACCGTTCTTTAACAGAAAGGAGCTTCCACGAGAATGTAATGGGATGTTTTAGGACACATTCACTTCTATTTGTGGGACAACATCTTGTCTAATCTTCGCTGATGTCTGTTTTAACTCGTGCATTTGAAAGCTGCAGACATCAGACTCACATCTTTGGCTTACTGTTGCCTGCATCAGTCCCAGCAGTGTGTCATCAGAGACTGCACATCAAGTACAGTTTGGCTGCAGCAACTTGATCCCACTCACATTTCCAGTTGAAGGTGCTGACAGTGCTGTCCTTCCACACACCACAGCACATAAACACACACCTCAGAATCCAGCCCAGCATCTGATGCCTGTGAAGCATCTGGATGGATATCACAGTTCTATAAATACACCGTTCTGAAGCCAAGTAACCTACAACCTGCTCAGCCTCGTCCTGCTGCACTCCAGCCTGTTGGCGCCTTCTCTGTTCTCAGCTTCCTCTGTCCAGTAGGACCATGAAGGCTGGTCTGGTTCATGCCTCACTGCCTCGCATGTGTAGCTGCTGCCATGAATCATTTTTATTTCTCTTCATCAGGACCTGCAGAGGGGGATGGATGCCCATAAGTCAGAGGTGCTTTCCATCAACCTGAGCAGTGCAGATTTCCTCCAATCAGAGCCCGACTCTGAGGAAGCGTGGGAGCTGAGGGACCGGCTGAAAGAGATGAACTCACGCTGGGATCGACTCGGTGCCTCGCTGGAGGACTGGAGGGAAGAGCTGCAGACAGCCCTGATGCAGTGTCAGGTACCTGAAGCATGCACTGATAACGAGCTGCACAGTAACCAGCTGCACAGTAACGAGCTGCACAGTAACGAGCTGCACAGTAACGAGCTGCACAGTAACGAGCTGCACAGTAACGAGCACAGTACAAATGAGAGGAAACCCTGAACACATAACAACTATATTAACTCCCTAAGAATGCATCTAGACTATCTTGTGTTACTGCTAAAATATAGAAAGAATTCAAAGAGAAAATAGGAGGTCTAATCTCATTTGTGCTGATGTGATATTTTTTTCAGGAGTTCCACGAGATGAGCCACGGCCTGCTGCTGTGGCTGGAGAACATCGATCGCAGGAGGAACGAGGTGGTGCCCATCCCACAGAAAGCAGATCGAGAAACATTACGGGCTCATCACAAAACACTGACGGTACGTCTCGCTGAATGCTGGCTTAGACGTGGTCTGTCTGGCTTTCATCATCCTTTTATATTTATTGTAGTTTGTAAAGTGATGTTTCTTATCAAAGAGGACGTAAAAGCAAAATTAGTGGATAAATAACTGTGATGGTCACCTGAGGGCAAACAGACATCTTGTTGGATTCTCTTGAAATAACAGCATCTGCTCTAAGTTCATGCACCAGTCGATTTGTTAGTTGGCTCTTGATGTACAACAGGTTCAGAACCACTGCCTAAAAGTAACTGGACCTATCTTCAAATGCTTCATACACAAAGCAAACTGAGAAGTAACTGGTTGGACAGCGATCAGTGGGTTCGCTCAGTTCTCTGAAGCCCTCATCACGTTGGAGGATGTGTTGCCATGTTGTCTTCAAAAAACTGTCCAGTGGTCCTCGAACTAATAAAAGTCAGGGATGGTTTGTCTGAAGTGCAGAGCAGGTGGTCGATAAGATGGAAACAAATTTAAATGTAAGCATATCTGCAGTATGGAGAGGCACGCCGGGCACGTAGACAATGTTGTACTTGTTGCCTCCATCTGTGGGGGGCGGAGTCTATCCCAGCTGACTCAGGGTGAAGGCAGGTTCACCTGGACAGGTAACCAGTCTATCACAGGGCTACACTTAGAGACAGACAACCAAGCACACTCACATTCACACCTACAATTTGAAATCAGCACCTCACCATGAGAGGAACCAGAGCACCAGTGAAACCCACTCAGACGCAGAGAGAACATGCACACAGACGTACAAGACTCGAACCAGGACTTTGGACCTGTGAGGTGCACCACCAGCCACACGATGAGTCCAATTTATTTTGTTGCTGCACAAAACACCTCCCTGATGTTCTCCACGTCCAGCCATGACGGTGCTGCTTGCATTGGAGTCGAGGACTTTATACATGAAAACAATCCCACAGTGGCAAACACCTGACACATAAACGCTGATTCTCTGGTACCAGACTGAGGTGTTCTACCAGGATCGTCTGTGTATATAGTTCTAACAGCAAGTTAGAAGAAGAACCGACTCTGAGAGGCAAAGATCTCAGAACACACACGGTAGCTGACTTCTCTGTCTGCTTTGTTGTGTCGCAGCAAATCAAGCGCGAGCTGGTGGACTCGCAGCAGAAAGTGTCGTCCCTTCAGGAGCTGTCGGCTCAACTGCTGGTCAACACCAAGCCTCAGACCGGGCTGCTGCAGCCGCAGACCTCGGAGCAGAACCGGGCTCAGGGCAGCGAGTGTCTGGAGGCCCAGGAGAAGGTCCATGTGATCTGGAACCGGCTTAGACTGCTGCAGAGGGAGGTCAGCTCAGACCTGGAGGGGCTGGAGAGGAGACTGGAGGCCATGAACACACAGCAGGTCAGACGATCCTGAATGCAGACCAACTGGGTCACCTTGTGTTCCTGTGACCGATCTCCTGTCCTACTGGCAGCACTTTTATTACAGCTGTGGCTTTGATTTGTCTTCCAGGACTGTTTACCGTCACCTATCGGCAAATCCGAAGTCTGTGGACCTGCTGCTCGTGGTTCGGAGGTGAACGTCCAAAGTCGCAAGCGATTGGTAATGTTCTTCCTCCTAATGAGCAGCTGAAGGGTCGAGTCTATGTGATCGATAGCAAACTGACGTCACCGTCCTGAGGCTGCCTTCTCCCCCCGATAGATCCCCGACCTTTTTATTTTTAACAATACAAAAGTTTGTTTTCCTTGTGCTCTGCTAACATGTACATGAAGAAACCTGTTGTCGACCCCTCCCATCTCCCTCCTATGAGATGTTTTTGCTGCCCGACACCATATTGATCTGCCAAATATTACAAGAAATCCTGGCTTTTCGTTTCACTTCAGTAAACTCTCCTGTAATGGGATGAAATCTGGAATATATGCAGCAAGAAAAAACACATTTTTTATGGTTGTACTGTAGATAAAAGTAAAGATTTCATTTTGCTAGTGTGTTGGAGCTTAACTTTACAGGATTTGATGTTGAGAAGCCAGATTTCTTGGTTCTGTAAGTCAATCACCATCACTGGTTCTGTTGCTGCTCTTTGGTTAGTGATGACTGTCCCTAGCGATGGTATGGCTCTCTTTATGTTGTTTGTTATTTGTTTTTCTCTCATCTGAGGCTTTGCCTTTATTTGCCCTTGACTGAAACATTCTTTTCTTTCTTTTGCCCCTCCCTGCTCATTACGTGGTACAGCCCCGAGGCAAAAGTAGTCAGGCCCACCCAGGACACCCTGAGAGCGGCCCACGCCACAGGTACCTCTCTCCTGGACTCTAGAGACACGGGATGATGATGGAACCAGAGCTGCACCTGCCTACAAACTTGATTCTGATTCATTCAAGCCAAATCAGTTCATTACAATCAGCCAGGTTTTACTCAGATTGGTAGATGATGTGATTTCACCGACTGCTTCGAGGCTTTAACGCTGGGTTCCATGATCCTCCCTTATTCTAGAGACCATGTTGTCAGCTCTTAAATGAGTGGGGAATTGCCTTCCTCAGGCCGCTCCCTTTCTCCTTTAAATGTTTTATTTCACTGCTTGTCTTTGCCCTGCTGCTTTCTGAATGGCATCATGAACTACTGCCCTGTCATACGTTTTGCTTCTCCTTTCTTTGAGGGACTTTGTATTTCCCCTCCTCACCCACTAGATGGCACTATCAGAGCCCCAGTGACCCCCTCAGCTGTCAGCTCTTTAGTTGTTTTATTTTCTGGTGTTTCCTTCCTGCTTCATTCTTTTCATAGTTCTACAGCAGGATATGATGCATTCACTCCTGCAGCTTTTCCTTCTACGTTAACTCCCAGTTTCTCCTGTTTCCTTTCCAGACCTCTTAAGTCTCCCTCCTCTGTCTCTCTTCTCATTCCTGATTTAACTTTCTATGATTTTGCCGACAATCTCACACAGACGTGGTGAAGACTCAGCCTAAACTGGTCTCGCCATGAGTGTTGTAGCAAAAAATAATATCTTTGTTTTCCCCTGATAGCATCATTTGTCTGAGAAGCAGAGACAGTCCTATACTAATGGGAGGTAGAGCTCCAGCAGAGCAGGAGATGCTGCCAGGCCTTGAAACATGAAGCACCCAAATAAACACACATCCATGACTGCTGCAGTGATGCAGGATGGAGGAGGACTTCATGAAACTGGCTGCAGAGCGAGTGGCTGCAGGGAAGTCAGCATGTCTGACCTCCTTCAGCCTCCGAGAGGATGAGCCTCAGTCAGAACAAACTGTTCCTCCCCTCGGAGTCTTGGCTCTGACAGTGGAAACCTCCAGAGAGGCGTTTGGCAGTTCTCCTGCTCCTGTTTGGAAGAGACGTGGCATTGAACTCTCACATAGTCGGCTCCAGAGCCGGAGCGTATCTCCCCTCCTGGTCCTGTGGATGTGCACGTGTGTGTGTGTGTGTGTGTGTGTGTGTGTGTGTGTGTGTGTGCAGGTCTACGTGTGTGTGACGCTCCTGGTGTCTGTCCTGGTTGGATTTGGGTCTTTCTGCTTCGTTCTTGTATTTGTCCTTTCCTTGGTGTTCAGTGTTTGTTGCGTATTCGTCGTTCTGTCAGACATGAGTCAGTATTTGCAAACGTCAGCAGCTTTACTGCAACCACAGGCTTCGTTGTTTCAATTAATCCGTTTAGAAAATAGTGAAAAGCGCCCATCACGGTCCTCTGGAGCCCAGAGGGCTGCACTATGAAGCAAGACTAGTGGGTTAGTGGGAGGTGTGCTGAAAATAAAATCATATCAACACATAAATAAAACCAGCTTCCAGAGTCATGGAGCTGGTTCTCTTTAGCCTGCTACATCACCATGGTAACTAGTGCTGCACAGCTAACCAGGTCTGGAGGAGGTTCTGTTCACAGTTTGGGATTTAAATCAGCTGAGAGGTGTCATTTTTTAAATTCTTTCCCCGACACTAAAGATGTGCTGCAGACTGTCAGCGCTCAGAGGGAATCGATTCTATCTGCCAACCTGTGAAGTCCTGTGTGAGCGAATCACTGAAGGAACGCTGCTCCACATTCACTTCTTCACTGGTAGCACCGGACCATGTGGTCCCACCTCCCACCTGGTCCCACCTCCCACCTGGTCGCAGGCAAAACATAGGACTTGCTGAACACTACCTTATCAATAGGCACTACAGTTTCCAGATGTTCCCTGAACGCCCCACACAGCCGGCTGCGGTGTGCTCAGACAGGTGACCAGACGGGACTGTGACCAGACAGAACGAGGGCGTTCTGATGTCACATCTGTCCCAGGTTACACCGACATGTGCTGTTTTTCTACATGCACTGTTTTCTATGAGCAGAAAAAGCAGCAGCTGTAGGTGTGTTCTGCTTTTCACGACAAGACCTCATTTTTAAATACCGCAGAACCCAGAGGTTCTAAAAGTCTGACTTCCCCCCGCTGTGGTGAACCCAGCAGCTGCCTGCGGTCACAGCGACACTAGTGCAGCCTAATGATCAGCGTGCACTCGCACCAACGCCACCACCTGAAATTTTAACTCACATTCTCAAAATAAGGTCGTAAATACGATCGTTTGGTTGCAGTCTGGAGTCCTGATGAAGTCATCACACAGCGTACGCAGCGTGTTACCACGGTAACCGACATGTGTTCAGTTGGTGAAGCAGGAAACAGAAGTATGTTCGTGTCTGGGCTCCTGATTGGCTACCAAACGTGTTCACTCTGCTGCTACTGCAGCCAGGAGGTTAGAAGATGTCTCTCTATTGGTCTTTATTACATATTTATTGCTGTGATTTGGCCAAAATCTAAAGTCACGTCTGTGTGTTCCTGATTCAGGACAGGGTCAGAGTCGTACCAAACAGCTGCACTACGATGCACTGAGCGTTAAACATGTGACCTTTAATCAGGAACAGTCTTCAGATGAGCTCCTTGTGTGTGAACATGCACAGACTAGTGCAGAAAACCTGGTGAACAACATGAACACCATCATGTGTGGCTGCTGGGTGTAGCTGAGCATCTAACACGAGCAAATGTGAGACTTGCTTCATAGTGCATCCCCCAGGATGTCAATGTGTTAAATCACATCCCAACTCCTGATCACAGTCTTCTCAGTCACCATGTTTACGCCCAGAAAGTTGGAGCACTGTGTCGATGAGAACACAGACCTCCAGCTGAATGTTCTGAAGAGGTTCTACAGCACAGCACTGGTTTGCAAATACTGGTGAGCTCAGGTCTGCTCTCTGCTGTGTTTAACTTTTGTCCGGGTCTTCCTGCAGCCGGAGCAGATCACCAGGCGCCGCTGGCTGCGCTTCCTCCCATTCTGACCTCCCAGACGTCTCCTCCTCCTCCTCCTCCTCCTCCTCCTCCTCCTCCTCTAAGGACCCGTCCTTCCTGCTGCGGGTCTTCAGGGCCGCGCTCCCCGTCCAGCTGCTCCTCCTGCTCATCATCGGCCTGGCCTGCCTGGTTCCCATGACGGAGGAGGACTACAGCTGCCACCACGCCAACAACTTTGCTCGCTCCTTCCATCCCATGCTGCGCTACACCAACGGACCTCCGCCCATATGAGGAGCAGCAGCTGAACTTAGCTCCCTAAGCTTTGCCAAGGACTCCACTGACTCCTGTGAATGTTTCCTCTTCACCCTGTGCCCTACAGCAACACACTCTTGCATTGTGAAGCGATTCAGAGGTGACATGAAGACTCCTTTCACGAACATTGCTCACCCACGCTTCTGAAATCACCTCAGCCCTTTAAAGCAACACTCTCCGGACCACCCTGGAGACCCCTGTTCCCAGTACAAATACTTCTTGTCCTTTTAACTTAAATGTGTATATTATTTTTAAGGTTTCTGCAGAAGCCTGTGAAATCATTGAAGAACAAAGCACTATTTATATACTGTATGTTGGGAGCCAAAGTCCGCTGTGCTTTCTGTCCATGATATCAGTGCTGCTACTATTTATTTAGTGTCCAATCAGTTGGTAGATGGTTAGCTGAATCGCCACCGTGAGTGTGGACTATTGTTCCTGTACATTGTAGAGTAGACCTGCAGTCTGAGCAGCAGTTATTCACAATCTTAGCTGAGAAGAGTTTCATTCCAAAACGACACATCTGAAGATCTGCTCGGACAAACGGGCTGAAGCTCAGCGGGAGTTCTATGAAGGACGAGGTGCAGCTTCCTGTTTTCTTGTTTGACACGTTTCAAAAGCACCTGCTTGAATTTGGAAATGAAGTTTTTTTTTCGTGTGATGTTAAATTTACAGCACTGACGTGAACACTGTCGACGGTACTGCACTGAAGCCCTCCGGCCCAGACGGCCCACTTCTGTCCCCAAAGCCAAGGCTCATATTCCTGTTTTAGATTTCAGTATTTAATCCTGTGGGGCAAATACAAAGAACAGATAAGCTCTCTTGTTTAAAAGAATTCAACTGATTTGTACATTATTGTTTTAAATGCCTTTGAATACAGTGAGTTATTTTTTTATCTTTCTTTCTGAGCATGCACTTGAAGTCCCCTGCTTTGAAACAGGCCACCAATCAGCGGTAGTGTTCTAGTGGACGGCTGTGACCTGGAACAGCGTGCTTTGTAATAACTGCGATAATTATTCAGCGGTGATGAGAAACCAGAATCACGGCGTCGCTAAACAGAATCTGTAAAAAAATGAAATATGACAAATGGTTATTTATGTATGTACAGTTTGCTAACGCCGACTTCATGAAGAATAGTCTCTTTGCAAATAATAAAACATGAAGTATTTAATTGTGTTTATTGGTGGACTGATTGTGGGATACACAGTGATGAGCAACGTTTTCCCAGTCGATGCTTTTATTTATATGCACAGTAAAAAGATGACAGTCACGTGAGGTTTGGCTGGATTTACACTGAACTTCAGCTCCAGAGGTTCTGATCCAGCCTGGAGGCTTTCAACACGTCTCCAAGCACCACCAATCACATCTGACAACTTCTCTGTAAGTAAAGACTGTTTTATCCTTAAAACACTTCTGGAAACGTACATTTTATTTTCTTGCAATTTCTACACATCTGACATTGAAGCACTTTAATGTTTGTGTTCAAACTGAGTCACTGAGAGCAAACACAACCTCAGCTACAGACAGACTAAAGCTGCAGAAAGGTTTCCCTGTGAAACCCGTCGCTTTGCTCAGCAGCACTCAGCTCGCTTCGACAGCCTGTGGTAAAGCAGAATTGGACAAATGATCTTTTTAAATTGTGTTCTGCATCAATTCAGCTGAAGCCCAGGTATGAAACATGTCATGTTTCCAGGAGGGCAAAGCTGGGCGGCACTTTGAAAGGAAAACTATTGACTAGACATTCACCAGCTAATGTCAGCGGTGACCGTGTGCAGGCGACTAAACGGAGCTGAAAGAAGGACGTATTCAGCAAATCGTGGGGAAATCGTTCCATGAAGCGGCTGCTTGGTGCAATCTGCTTTCTAAATGTTCTGAGGAAGATGGAGAGAGACGGAGGAGCCGAGTTATCTGCTCGGTTCAGTCTGAGGCTGAAGTGGACTCACACTGAAATAATCTATCAGGTAAGGTCAGAGTCACCCGTCACCAGAACCTGCCTCATGATGAGACTAACAGCCGGACGGTCTCACAACTGGAACTGGTCTTTCTGGTCCACGTTGACATGGACAGGAAGTGCAGTCCAGGGACGGTGGTTTTTTTTGCTTTTCTTTGTCATTTGTGGCAGTAAATTTAACATGTTTGTGTTTCTGGCTGTTGGTTGGACAGAAAACTTCATTTAACACTTTGGATCCTGGAAATGTGTCATAACCTCCGTACACACCTGATACCTCTCATCCACACCAGATGTCTGCCTTTTTTTTTCCAGTAGGAAATAAATTCAGAAACAAAAGCAATCACATGCATGCTACCACACAGTTCTTGGAGGTGAGTAAATCCAGCCAACCTCAGCATGTGATCACTGCATTAATAGATGAGTAGCTGCAGGTTGTAGCTGTGATGTTGCTGAAACGTTGCATCAAGCAGAAACCTCTCCATCCCATCAGCCTCTCTGCCAAACACATCGAACACAGCGAGTTCAGGAAAAGAAAAAATTAGTGCAAGTGAGCATGGAGAGCCTCCTCTGCACAGAAAGCTGCGATAAGGAGAAGTCATCCGACGATAAAGCTCGGCTCCCTTCAGCATGTCATCAGGGCTCCAGGATTTGATTGTGCAGTTTTTAGCTACTTAAGATTCAACATACGTCCTGAGCCGCTGGTCGTGTCAGAACGCCGTCACTGAAATGTTTTTTTGTGGTTTTGTTTTTTAAAATTCAGAATTGCGTTTGCATACACACAACCTGACGCTTTACTCGTTAACAACGTTTGGATTGAAACACAAAACAAATTAAACACTCATTTTAACCGGTTGTATCATTATTTGGCGTAATCATCCTTTAAATGCAGAAATAAAAGTAATGCCCCTTTAAATTCAAGAGAAAGTGCACTTTGGCGAATAAACACAGAAATTAGCTGCTCGTCGTTTTCAAATCACAGTAGCTGACAGAGTGGCACGATATGAGCTGACACCTGCTGTTCTGGAAATTAAAAGCTGGACTGAAAAGCTCTTGGAGACCGACTCAAAATCACAGGTATGAAAGGCAGCGGGTGGGATCCACTGGAGCTCAGACTGGAAAGCAGGAATTTCTCCCTAAACAGCTCTAAGATCACTGAATTCATAAATAATTCTCTCGTTATTTGAAGCCAAATAGAACCTTTCCCTCTCAAACCCTTCTGTGCTTCACACATCATCCACTAAAGGACTGTTGACCTGAAGCTGCTGCTCGTCGCGCTCATAGGACGTGGGTGCAGTCAGAGCGGGGCCCTCCGTACTGCAGGACGCTCGGACCTGACGGGCCTCTGCCCGGGGTTTCATGGCTGCCTCGAGGTCCTGAACTGGAACCAGCTGAGGAGGAGCTGCTGCTGCTGCTGCTGGTGGACGGAGGGTCTCTGTCAGCTTGTGACCAGACCTGAGCTGGTCTGACTGGACGGTGGAGGCGATGAGCGTCCAGCATCTCCAGCAGCAGGTCGTACAGAGGCACTTTGTTCTTGCACTTCATGCTGTAGAGGTGCTCCATGCCCTTGTTGCTGTCGGTAGATTTCACAACATTGTGTGTTAATGCATCAAAAAAAAAACAACACTTCTCATTTTTGTTGCTCCTGACCAACACCTTTGTGTTTCAAACCAAAAGCTAACAACAGGCTCGTCTCTGGACTTTCTGCCTCCCCGACCCTGCAGTACCGCTCCGCTTCCAGCCCACCGGACTCCTACTGATGATTTGTTTTTAACTGAGTAAATGCCACTCAGACAGGAGTAAGCACAGCATTCCTTATTCATTGTACACATTTGATACTCTGATGGGTATTTAGAGGTTCCCTGTGGAGTTTTCCTGTAAACAAACAAAAGTCCTGTTTCCATGTAGACGGCGGTCGCTAATCATAAAACTCCTTTTAAAGTGTTTTAAATCATCCACTGCTTACATGTGCATCTTAGTTCAAGTCCAATTAAAGCCGCAAGCGGCGATGGACGGGTCCTCGCCCTACGCTTGTCGGCCTTCGCGCACGGC